TGGTTTTGACTCTCATGTGTGTAGGCACCCCGCATATTCCATCCACAACCCTTCCCCCCGGCCGTGTTCCGGCCCCCCCCCCCCCCCGCTCCCCCCCCCCCCCCCCCCCCCCCCCCCCCCTCTTTCCCGCGACTACCTTCTTCAGGTTTCGTCAACATCGTTTAACCCGATACAAGCAGGTAGATCTGCGCTACTCTTTTAACTCTTCTAGTGCGTGGAAAGTTTTGGTGAGCTGCCCATGCCAACCTCAACCTGCTCAACACCACCACCAAACTAACTCAGCTGCTAACTGTAGCATCAAAGCTTAATAATATCCAAAACAAGAACAGCCGCGTCGTTGCTCAGCAACCGCATATACCACCGCACTGTCCTCCTCTTCTTCTTGTTGTTGTATAATGGCTGATCCTGCCACACCCAAGAAGCAGGTGTCACCTGCCACACTGGCCCAACAGCCAACACCACCGGCTACTCAAAGGGGAGTAGTGAAAGTGATTTTCCATGTCTCGAAATCAGAGACTTCCATACCTCGTCTAAGCTACGACAAGCCTATCACTAGTGGAAATACAGAGGAGTTCGAGGACGAAGATGATCAACCAACTTCGCCCGTCTCAAGCCAGTCTGAACACGATCATGCAGAACAAGTGCAGGAACCTACAGAAAATGACATCAGAGAGTGGATGAAGAGCTCTGAGAATCAACAGCAACGTAAACGACGATTCGACAGCCTTCTGCATAGCTTTTGGCCATCGAATGATCAGTTTAGTAAGTATTATGCTGCCTTTTGCTTATTTACCGGTCGTAGATGATTAATCGAATTGCATTAGATGCGGCTCGTCACCAGGATTATGATCATGAAGAGCATGGCTGGTATGATGATTTCATCAGAGATCAATGGGAGGACGGGAAGTACCCGTTCGACGACGACAATTACAACCCACTTAAAGACCCGTCAAAGAGCACTGAGGTCTGGGAGCCTCAGATTGGCGAGGAGGGTATTGAAAACCAGTACGATCTTTACATGGTGCTGAAAGCCCGGCAGAATCACAGGGCACTCTCCAAGGCCCATAGACAATTCAGAGCTCAGGGTGGATATGCGATGCTCATCTCAAATGAATCTACTTCTGGGACCAACCATGACGATAAAGCCGGCAAGAAAGATCTGGATTCCAAAGTTGGTATGGAGACACTTTCTGCTGTCAAGAACGTTTCTATGATTCAGCCCACTGCAGTCTCCGGTACCCCAGAATCAAAAAAGCACCGTCGTCGTCGGTCTAGAAAGACAACTAAATCCAAAAAGAGAAAGCGAGATGCCAATGAAAACCCCGACCGGACCTACAAGTACAGCAGTGGGTCCGAATATGAGCTACCAATCCGCAAGAGAGGCAAGAAGAATCAGACCGATGCAAGCAACGACAACTGGAAAGCACAGACACGTGCCGCGGCTAGGTGCCAGTCTTGTATGGGTCTGGATGGTAATTACGACACCGACAACGACGAGTTCTACTCGTGCTAATTCTGAAACGACAAAGTCTACAAGAGAGTGCCGAGGGTGAGCAAAAGAAAGCAATATTATCTCATCCTATTTTCTTCATCACTGATTGAGGTGAAGACACTCAAGTCGTGATTCAGCCGCCTTCCGCACACATCTAGATTACGACTGTTCAGGATTCCCGAGAGACTTGAAACGCTATTTCCACTTCGATCTAAATTCGCTTCTCATCTTTACTCACAGGAATTGCTGGGCTCGAGCTCGAATTCGATTCTTCACAATTTGTTTCTTGTAGTTGTTGGCGGTGGTGCTTGATATACTTCGTCTGATGCACATTTGCGTTCCATTTTTGTCTTGGACTGCGATTAGTTAATCAGTTGGACCGTGCCTTTGATAAGGAGGTCTTCGGGTGGGTATTCTTGTTAAGGGCAGTTGGAAGAGGTTGGTTGGCACGATGGTCAGACTCAGGCTAGTGGACAGGCACATGTCGCGATGAATTCACAACAATGATTTTTTTTTTACATGGCTTTGATAACTTCCTCTATGTACATTTATAGTGACACTAATTCTCCGTCACACAAGATCCCAATATCGGCCCTCTGGCCAAATGTATGTGACGGTGCTTTTCATAGTGATGCAGTAGGCCGTCACATGGCGTCCATCACAATGGCCTTTTTCCAAATAGATAGCATATGGTGCACAGTGATGACTTTGAAACAAGGCTCATGTGGGTTTTACATAGTAGATAGCAAGTCACTATGCCATTGGCTTGCGGACATCAAACAAATAGAATTGGGGTAAACCGCTTGATAAGTTGATAATTAATCCCCTTTGCTAATCACCGATCAGTAAGTAAGTGTACTACACTAACAATGCCCGTGGGACCAAGGATGAATCCTCGGGTTACTTGATTAACTCATAGTTATTTATGATGGCATCGCATCCGGGACCGAGTCACTGAAGAAAAGAGAAAAGTATGGCAGGAGGTTGTTGACAGCTCCCGGCGGTACTACCGTACTAATTTCTTTCATAATCTGACTCACCAAGTATACAAGCAAATGAAAGTAGGCAAGTATTGTACCGGTAGGTAGGGTGTGATGTGGTGTAGATTGCTGCAAATGAATGTGTGGAGATGGTACATCACTGCCGGTATGACTGAGTACTGGTCTTCTTCGACTGATCGACCTACATTTTCTTGTCGCTTCTCGCAAGTTCGAGTGCTGTCTTTGCATTGCTATCTGGATCTACGGGTGAATATACGGCCGTCGTTTAGTCACTAATTAGTTAAACCCAACGCGCCCACTGTTGTCATATTGCCTGTTGCCAGTGGTTGGCGGTATATATAAGTCGCGGAAGTGTTCAGTATTAAACTGTAGTCATGGCTTCGATGTGAAACTATCTTCTCCAATCCAATAGCTACCTACCTCACTGCCTGAAGACCGCCCCTCCTATCCCGGGCTAGTTAGCGTGTCTCGCTGAGTATTACCATCGCCACCTTCACATTTCGCCATCATCATGTCCGTCAGAAACGCCTCTTGCCTCTGTGGCAGCGTCAAGCTTGAATTACGGGGCTCCCCGTTCATGCAGAATCTATGTCACTGCTCGTCGTGCCAGAAGTTCACAGGGGCAGCCTTTGGCACCATGGCTGCTTATAAGACTGAGGTACGTCCTGGCTCACCTGTATCTGAGCGAGTCAATTGCTCGTGGCGATGGAATGATAGCACCCCGTTCTCCGGACCGGATGTCCACTATCTCTCCTGCCGCTCCCCTTGTCTCTCCGGCGACAACGCCATAGTCTATGCTAGTCATTCCGTCGCGATGCTAATATACGCTACCCAAACAGCAAGTCACAGTGACAGAGACCGAAGCCGATGTGCTGAAAACGTACATCGATGCGACCCCGGAATCAGGTGACACTCTCAAGCGGTCGTTCTGCGGTAAATGTGGCAGTCCGGTGAAGGTCCAGAGGGGAAGTGACCCGGAAAGAACGGTCATTCCTGTGGGCATTATCGACGGGGACAAGGACGGCTTTAAGCCCCAGTTGGAATTCTTCTGTAAGCGCAAGGCCGGCTGGGTTGGCGCCATCGAGGATTCCAAGACGTTTGATGCCATGCCGCCTGCCACGTCGTCTGATTGAACGGGTGAAGGATTGGGACAATTGAGTCTCGCAAAAGCGTCGCCGCTGGGGCTGGGATCGCGCGAATTCTCAACTTTGGGATGGTCTTGTATACTGCGTACAAAGCTTAGTGTAGGACATTGTGTACAGGTTACCTGATGTAAGTAAGCGTTTGTAGAACATCGCTTGGTTCCTCCCGTCTCCCGCCCCCGCTGCGGCGAGGGTGCTGGCTTCCAGTGCGCCTAGATACAATACAAAACGTGCATCACGGCCATGTTTGGCATGTTACACAGAACCCACTCAGCAGCTCAGCTACCAAATTACAGTGGCATGGGCAGATCCTAAGGGCAGAAGTCAGAGTAAGAGATAAAAATAAAGATGAGAAGATGACTAAAATTATTTAGAGACGGGAGACGAAAATTAATGCAGGGTTAAGACCGCGCGGCGTTGCTCTCGTGTGAATCTGTAACCTACCTACTTAGCTAGAGTACCTAGGTATCTTGAGGTAAGCAAGCCAACTCGGACACAACCTACGGACTACGACTCTAGTCTCTAGGTACTTAGCATAGTGTACGTAATCTTATTTCACCAAATCCCAGAGGTACAGTAGGGAAGCTTGGGGTAGATACGAAGTAAATATGTATTCTTGGGGGAGGATTTTAGACCTGCGCGCTCCTAGATGTGCGGCGGCATAGACGTAGTAAGCCTCTTATAGGGCCGATATTGGAAGCATAAGCCGTTGGTTCACTGCGTAGCACAAGGATAGATGGGTAAACAAACCCAGAGGAGGTGGCTCTGAGGTAGGATTAGGCTTGAGGTGCGGTCCTTTTCGACTATGCTGAGGGCTGATTGTCTTCATACCTAATCTCGCGGTCGAGAGCTCTAGCTCTTGCTGTTTTATATCTTTCCTATATGAAACGGAGGTAGTGTGCATATATACTCCGTACTTCGTGTTAGGTAGGTCGACCTGTGTCGGCGCGTGAAGCGCCACGGCAGAGATAAGAGCATTGTCCATCCGGGTGTTGTCAATGCCACATGGCAACAAGGGTGCTCCGGTAATAAAATGCACATCTATATGGAACTCGGACTGCGCCTTAGCAGTATGCACTGTCATTACTATGCCTCTTACATAGTTACGTTTTGCTTCATTCTACCTGTTGCATTCTATATATTCCCGTCGGCCAGGTGGCCCCGAAGAGGCTGAACCACCAGTCCCAACACTACTGCACGTCGCAATGATATCAAATACCTACCTGCCTAGCCGCTGGGCTGAGATACCGTCCTCGATATGGGCATCCCGGATATGGACACAGTAGTCCACCAACCCCCCGCTCCTCTCCTCCAGACAGGGAAGCCCGATTGCCGTAAGACCGAGTGGCATGTTATGACGCTATCTCTGGCACCGTCCCCCCAGCCTTCGAGATTGGTTTGGTTACATACATACAGCAGCACCTGCAAACCTCTGTCTCGTCTATTCGGGGAAAAGAGCTGTCCAAAACTGGCCATCTGCCTCTCGTGAGGCACGACTACCGAGATATGTCGTGCTCCCCCAGCAGTGCTCGACTGCGCTGCCCGCTCGCTGCTTCAGCTTTGACGAAAGCCAGGCCTCTGATTCCGAGGCACCTATGCAATGCCAGATCCGAGGTTTGCATATGTACGTACTCACGGCATGTAGGTATACCGTTTCTTGGCGGCCTGCCAGCCCATAGAACTGGGGTTTTGCACATTCTGGAGGGCTGGATGCGGGGAGCGAAACCAAGAGCCAACTGTATTTATCAAATATAGTACAGCCGTGCTGAAATGGATCTCGTACCCAGGTACTGTATCTGTGGTAGGAGGTACGAAGTAAGATGGGAATCGCAGAACTGGGGTAACACGAGAATGCGATGGGCTAGCTACTGTATAGGCTACCTAGGTTGTCTCTTTTGTTTGTGAGATTGCATCCGAGTTACAATAGCTATCTAATGGATAGTCCTTCTCAGCTTGATTTAATCAATCCTAGCTGATTCCCCTTCTGCTGGACGTACTCAGTGTTGTTCTCTTTGCGCCGCTCGTCGACATTCCTTCATGGTACGATGTTGGTGAGAATGGCGACGCAGGTATACATGATGCCAGAGATATCGGCTTTCAACACCCCAGGTAGCCATGTCTAATTAAAATAGCAGGAACTTTCCAGTTATACTGCTTTTGGCACCCTGCGAGCAAGCCAGCCTATTAACCTTGCAGATACGATCCCGCTCCCGTACCTTGTCCAACGTGAGTTCACTCACACCTTTACAAATCTATCGTCAGACAACAGGTGATGCAGTTCGGCGATCGCCTTGGTGCGGCACTCACTGGGTTACTCATTTTGTCTCTTTTTGAGAGCCTACGCATGGTAGGTACTCAGTAGTATGCTCCCTCGGGACTTGCTGGATGAAGCGGCAACTGTTTTGCTAGCAGCGGTGCTTACATGTACTTACTTTTAGTAGACGCTGACCTCTTTAACCTAGATTAAGATTAGAATCGGGACTGCGTGGTCGTCTGTAGAGACAGTCAACTGTATCGATATTCTTAGTCATCTCTTTGGAAGCCTGTCTTTTCAAAAACCATATGCTGGCTACCGTTACGTCTCGCGTCGTTCCAGGCGTCGCTGCAATATTCATATAGTAGTAATAGGTGCCAGTGAGGGGTCTTAAATTGGTTTTGTAACCCCTGCTGGGAGTCTTGTGCGAGCTGAAGTCCGAAATGGTCGCCGCGTCGTGTAGGTAGGCTCCACAAGGATCAAGAGAGGAAACACAGTTGTTAGGAATGGGTGATATGGAAATGACCACGACTTAAGTACTTGGGTGTTGTTTATTGCGAAGGAAGCCCCTTTCCAACGCGTACAGCCCGTCCGAATACATCTCCGGAAGTGGAGTGTATGTATGTGCCTTATTCATCACAGTGTGTGCGTGGTCAACGAGGACTGCGTAATCGCCGGCACCATATCTGCATACCTAGGTAGTTTTAATGACGACTGCCTACCTGCACGAAGTAGGTAACACTCGCCGGAGCTCGTAATATTTAGTCATGCCTTCTCCTTTCCCAGGAAGACGTAGATGACAACTGCATTATGAAGACAGTCTGATGGAGACGAGCTGTACGTAGGGTAGGTCTGCAGAATATCACATCATCAGTGCATGTTCTAATACTCATCGTAACCCCGGTTGCTTTCTTACAACCGATCACCATTCGTCAACCCACTCGTCAACCCACGATGAAAAAGGTAGAATCTTGCGGTCAGCCTCCCTTTCAGGCTGGGGCAGAACTGGGGGTATCTGAACCCCTTCCCGTAATATCAAGGTCTTCGAAAACTCCAACAAAATGCCCACATCAGAAATCAAACCTCAATGTACTGACCCTGTTTTGAGCTTCACCAGCACCCGCCGGCTATCTCACCCCCTGTGGTCTTCTCCCGTAGCATATGCGCAATGATATCGTCTGCGTCGGATCCTCCAAGACTATGTTCCAAGCTTGGTAAAGGAACTGTCGGTCTAGAGCTGACTGTGTCTTGCCTCCGGTTCCAAGAGCTCCGGTGCCTCGCCCTCTTTCCCCATCAAGGGTGTTCTCCATCTTCACTATCTCTCGCTTTCCCCCGCATGGAACTTCGCGGACAGCTAAAGAGCAGTAGAGATGATGACTTACGTTATCTACATACATATGTAGTAGAGAGGTTCGGTCTCGAAAAGACTGGTGAAGGAAGACCAAGTTTAGCCAAGTACCTACTGCGTAGACCAATGAGCCTGTGACACAGTCCCAGGCCCTGGCAGACACTATCTAGACACCCACAGATACGCCAATAGCTATCCGCAACCGGGAAGGAATCCCTACTCCTCCTGCTGGCGGGCGCACTGCAGGTAATTGGGTATGAGAAAACTAGAACCGTCTTACCTAACTACTTGGGAACGTCTAGCTCAGGTATGACGAGATATAGTACGATGTCCGACCTCTCTACACAGTAGGGGTCGTGCCTCTCTCATTGATTGCTGGCCAGCAACGGTGCCACGGACTCACAGCTAATGTGCACCAGCTCTGCACCAGAGAGCGGCTGGACGCTGGATTGGTTCCACGCACCATCATCCATCAGAGAAGACCGCCAGGGGCCGCTAGCTGCACCCTGACCTGGCGATGAACCCCCTTGGCCCGCCTATTCGCCTATTCCCCTACCTTCAGTATTCTGTTAGCAACGAGCGTGTCGTACGCTGCTACTGGTAACCAGTGGTAAGTGGTGGGCGCGCGCGTAAGTACTTAGGGATGCTGGTAGGTTATACAGCAAGGGGACACGCTGCCAGGCGGTGGGTTGTGATATCTAACGCCAGATGCATAGTAGGTAGGCATATAGGTACCTAACAGATCTCTATCTGTACATCAGAGGAGATCAAGCCTGCATTTGTGGTGGCAAATATTGTGTGCTCTAGCTCTGGATAGGTACATGTAACCTTGAGAATAACCTGCCTGACCTCACCATACACGAACCAAGTACCAGGTGTTAAGTTCTAATTACGTCCATGATGTATAGAGGGAGACGCCCACCTAGCCTCCCAGGTACTTGGACACGAGCAAGCGGTATCTTCAACAGCCCAGTCCAAATTCCTGGCAGGAGGGAGGTAGCAGCGGCTTGGTGAAGACTGTTTGCTGCCATTGGAGAGAGGTGAAGCTTGTTCGAGGCCACACCGATCGTCAATGGGCCCTTTCCTACCATTGCGACATTGAAGCAATCGGTTTTTTTCTTTTTTTCTTGATTTTTTCCCTCCTTTGCTTTTCCTCTCGACTTGATCTAGGGATGGATCATGGTGTAATGGGCTATCGCTACGCTGCATTTGTAGACAAACAACCATTTACTCACCTCCTGACTACATCTGCTCCTCCACAACGACCAATTGGCTAATGGACAGATAAAAACATCCAGTCGTATTTGCCTCGCTATTTCCATCCTGCCTACCTACCGACCGCACTTTAGGTACACTTACCTACCTCTACCTACCTACCTACTGCATGGTCTAGCCTACCTACATACCTACTATATGTATTCTCTTACTACTACTACCACTGCTACTTAACTAGGCCCTTACCTCTCTCTACTTCTCTACTTGTCTCTGTCTACCAGTCTACCTCCCTACTACATACCTACCTACCTAGGTATATTTCTAGGTTCTGGTAATCGATCTGGATCTCGGTCCTGTAACTCACAGTAGCTACATCAAGCTATTGTCACCATCGACCTAATTGGCGGGAGCTTACAAACTCGACATCCATCATATGTATTTCAGCTCAGATCCGAGTTCATCTTCCTCTTCCGCCCGTCATCCTTCTTCCTCCTCCAATACACTTCACCACTGCAGGTACTTTGCCTCCCAACGCTGAACCTACCTACTGTACCAACCACCTCTCTGGTCAACATATATAAACGCACTTCAGCCGCTGCCTGCGAGGTACCTACCGTATACCCACTCCTCTGGGCACTTGACTTCGTCTATGATAACTGCAGTGTAGCCAACCGACTGGTCCTGCCTGCTACCTGTACCTACTAACACCGCACCACGCCGCACCACCTGCTTAGGTACCTACCTACCTACCTACCTACCTAGGTACTTACTTGTACGGTTGTCCCACGGTAGCCGCCCACCACTGTCACCACCTCTGTCACCACCTAACTGATTACCCCTCCTACCCTTCCCGGCATCCCGACACGCTCCCTGTAGCTCAACCGGCGCAGGCCTATCATTGCTACACCTACCCCCTACCTACCCCCTACAGCCCGCTGCCCATTGCCCCTACGGCTGTACCAGCTCCAGTCCCCTCTCGACCCCCCACTACCCATCCGATCTTCTCCGCCAAACAAAACTCCAACCCCCTTCACTTGACTTGCATACCTATCTTCTTTGCAACTGGACCAACATCGACAGTCACCACCATCAAACACGAACCGTGTCTCTCCACGTCCAGCTCACCGCACGCACCGGCGTGGGTGAACATCTTGAAGTTCACTATTGACCATGGCAGCTTCTGACGGTGGTTTTGACATGCTGAGGCGGGCAACGCAGCGCGTTATGTCGAAGTAAGTCGTAACCGGTTCATATCTCATACTTCTCATTACCCCTCCATCCCTCTTTTTTTTTTTTTTTTTTTATACCGATGTCCGAGGTGTCCTTGTGCCTTGCCTTGCTACAGTTGCATCTAATCTCGCCTTGCGCTCGCTCTGCCTTGCCTGCGTTCCGCCGTGGCCTGTTTGTTACACACCTTTTCTATTTTGCCTTGCTGTACATCGGTCACCCGTCATTGTAAGCCACAGAGTGTTGCACTCGCGTTGCTTGCACAAACCCAAGCGTAGGGAACTCTGCGCCTCTCTTCCGTTTAGCCATTGCACTCCACCGCCTCGGTCATCGGTGACCCCGGTAGCCCTGGTCTGTAATTTTGAGACTTTCCCTTCTGGCTTATTCAGGGTTTGGGCCGCCGGGGCGAGGGCAAACGGTCTTGTTGCCCATTGAGACCTAATTACCGAGAAGAGCAAGCCGTCGTATTGCACTCAATGCGGATGCACCACGTTTTCGCACCGTTTTGGGGCTGGCTGTTCTGAGTCAAGACGTTGTCGCGGGACAGACAAGATTGAGGCGGCGGGTAACGACTCGCCACGACACTCGCCCATACCACCTTGGGTCCTGGTGAAAGAGACTCAGTCTTGCACCCTTTTTTTGCCTAGTCTGACTTCGCCAGCGTCCAACAATGACAACTTCCTTGCTTAGCCTACGCTTGGCCTTGCTGCGACAACCTCAGGTCATGGCGATGTCTTCACTACATGGGATAAACCTGGTCCGCTTGACCGCAAAAGCCAGCATTGCCATACGAAAGCTGGACGGAACTGTGCAATGCGTGTCCTAGCCAGGCGTGGGCTCGGCGACCTAGCTCCTACTTGCCGTAGGGCAATGCTATTCGGCAGCTATCAATGTCGCGGCCTGACTCGCTAGAACCCGGACCGAAAAGCAGCCCAATGGGCTGGGTTGATTTCACCACATCCCCACCCTCGGGTTGATCGATAGCAGCTCCCAAAACGGCTCCAAAAGTACCCCTGCGCCCCACCTACATTCCCTCCGACCACATGGCGGCGTGGTTGTGCCATGGGTGGCCACCAGGTCCCTTCTTGATGAAGGAGCATGGGGGCCCGTGGAACTAATAATCGCTCGGTCGTGAAAATTCTGGCTCTTCAAAATCCTACAGCTTTCAAAGCTACTCACTGTTTTGTCATCGAGTGTTTGCCTCATCGCACATATTCATTTTGCTTCCATGCAACGCAGTTAGATACTACTTGCTTGGCGACGGTCAGCTTGCTTACCCTCGAGTGCTTAATGTCCAAAATAATGACTTTGCCATTGTACTTATCTTTCTAACGATCTTGTTCCTCTATGCTGCCTTTTTCTTCATTGGCTTTTTCTATCCATTTATTTCACTATATAAGCCCTGAATACTTTGCGACGGCCGTTGTTTTAGTTGCAGTATGGCCAATATTAACAGTCTACGCAGGGCCTCGCCGACAGACGATGATGCGGATCAAATAGGTTTCGATACCCCACGGTCCGGGATCGCTACACCGCAGCCTGATCTGAAAGACAAACGACTGCCTGGTATTATGAGCTACTTCGGCCAGGTTGGTTCCACCCCTTCAGCTTCGTTTTTTTCCTTCCGCCCCTTCTCCCAAGCAGGAGCCACTGAGATACCGTGTCCTACCTCGCCTCAGGAAGAGAAAGAATCAGAAAGAAAGATGGAGCAGACACCTACTTTGGGCGGGGGCGCAAGTAAAGATAGAGAGCTCGTGATTTCGACTCCCCCACCACATCAGAGAACAGAGTCTTTGGTATCAGAACAACATTTGCAGCCAGATACTCCTTTCTTCCACTCCTATCCTACTCCCCCATGCTCGAAAACGCCCTCCGAGAGAGGACAAAAGTTGAGCGATGCGAGTGCCGATTCGGGTCGTGAATGTTCAATGTCTCTGCCGAAGCGGCCTTCTCCGAGTTTGACTATGACGAGTTCTTCAGGCCGTTTAGCTCAAAAAATTCGGAGAGCAACTCTAGCATCACCCGTTACAAGCATCGTTACCACTCACAGCGTCCCTAAGAGCTCCGCCCTCAACCCCAGCGGTTGTGATGTTGCACCAACTACACTCTGTTCCCCTTCCGAGCCTGAACCCCCTAGTGGCGACCGCGTCACATCTCTTTCTGATCAACGCGACATGGTAGACACATTAAGAAAGCTAACACTTACTGCTTCGACAAAGAGCGGCCCGCCTACTCCTACGAGAGCGCTATCCACGACTCACCCGTCTGCTGTCGAGGATCGATCGTTATCACAGGCAAGCCGAAGCGGCACGGATTCAAACGGTCGACAGAGCAACTCTACGTCCCGCAGCGGTGGCGTGCAAGCGCCAATACAGAGGGGCAAGCTGACGATTAAAATCCGGGAAGGGCGTGGCCTACGGAAGAGCAGGGACCCATATGTCGTGGCAGTTTTCCAACGAAGTGAGCTCATTTCACCGGGGCCGAGAACATTTGAAGACGAGGATGAACCAGCAGCCCCGACCTCGAGTATTCAAATGGGCGGTATACCGATTTCCCGACAGGGAAGCGACTCTGGTCGGCCAATGGCCATCCCAATGAGGAGCCGACAGAGTAGCAATACTAGCATTTCGGACTACACTGCCTTCCGCAATCGGACCCGAAAATCCTTCACGAGTCCTAAGTGGGATGCTGAGGCTGTTTTGTAAGTAGTGTATCGTGTATCATGCATATTGTGACGCCATCAGCTGACCTTGTGTAGTGATGTTGTCGATTCGGATATGCTTGTCGATATATCAGTCTACGATCACGGCGCTACTGGCGAAGAATTCCTTGGCCATGTAGATTTCCAAGCTATCGCGCCTGGGACCGATGAGCCCGTGCGGGGTTGGTTCTCCTTGACGGGTAACGCCGATACAACTATAGACAAAGAACCTACAGGCGAAATATACGTTGAAGCACTCTACCAGAGAACCGAAAAGAAACATTATGGACCAGATGATTTCCAGATTCTACGCCTTATTGGCAAGGGCACCTTTGGCCAGGTCTATCAAGTGCGAAAGAAGGATTCCAATCGCATTTACGCTATGAAAGTGCTATCGAAAAAGGTCATTGTACAGAAGAAGGAAGTAGCACATACCGTCGGAGAACGGAACATTTTGGTTCGGACAGCCACATCAGAATCTCCGTTCATTGTCGGGCTCAAGTTTTCTTTTCAAACACAAAATGACCTTTTCTTGGTGACGGATTACATGTCAGGAGGCGAGCTCTTCTGGCATCTGCAGAAAGAAGGTCGATTTGATGAAAAACGTGCCAAGTTCTACATTGCTGAACTTATTCTCGCTATCCAGCACCTACATCACAACGACATTGTTTATCGGGATTTGAAACCCGAGAACATTCTTCTCGACGCCAATGGTCACATAGCCTTATGTGACTTTGGCCTGTCCAAGGCTAACTTGACCAAGAACGATACGACAAACACATTCTGCGGAACAACAGAATACCTGGCCCCTGAGGTGCTTCTAGACGAGTCGGGGTATACTAAAATGGTGGACTTCTGGTCTCTCGGTGTCCTAGTTTTCGAAATGTGCTGTGGGTGGAGTCCCTTTTATGCTGAAGACACTCAGCAAATGTACAAGAACATCGCATTTGGCAAGGTTCGCTTCCCGCGTGATACCTTGTCCCAAGAAGGAAGGAATTTCGTGAAAGGACTGCTCAATCGAAACCCCAAGCACCGACTGGGCGCAATCGATGATGCAGAGGAATTAAAGCGCCACCCCTTCTTTGCTAATGTTGATTGGGAATCTCTCTCGAAGAAACTCATCACTCCTCCATTCAAACCCAAGTTGAAGTCGGAGACAGATGTGTCATATTTTGACCCTGAGTTTACCAACGCTCTCGCCACTAATGGTTCGTTGAACGAGCGTGCACTGCAGCTAGCTGCTGGGTATGCGGCGTCAACACCCTTGTCTCCGACCACTCAAGCTAACTTCAAGGGCTTCACATTCGTTGATGAGAGCGCCCTTGAAGATAATATGAAGGACCGGTTTGAGGATGCGGAGATGAGTGACAATGATGCTCCGAGTGACACGGATCATCGAGATAACGACTGGGATGATTTGGAAGACCTTGGGCTTAGTAAGGGGAACCGGATGAGTGGTATTGTCAAGAACGGCCATCAGACGGACGAGCCTTTCCAGCAGTTCGATCTGTAGTCGAGCCATCTGTCCGCAATTGTCAGGTTGATAACTTACCTAGACATGCAACTCCCCACTAGCATACTGGTGGTGTTCTTCTTTCTTTTTCCTTCCTTTTCACTTCTATTTTCATCTTGCACGCGTAAGGAAATTGTATTCAAACCGGCATCATTGCATAGGGCGGCAGTTTTATTGCATGCGGACACAGCTGGCTCGTACCAGCTCGGCGGTCGGTAGAGGAGGCGTTTGGCTGCTGCAATTACGAGGGATTCTAGCACATATTTACAAGGCCGTAAAGGCTCAGTACTGCATGATCATACCAAAATGGCTATGGAATCTCGCCACCTGTTTACCTGTTTTATCTGTTTCTTCCTTCGACATAGTCTTGGAAGCTTTTTTTCTGGAGTGCCATATATGACATGGTCAATTTGCTTCAATGTTGCCCTGGGTGGGCCTTTTCGACCTCGTAAAGCTGTGCTATCCTGATCTCTTCATTTTTATGTACATGTAGCCTGGTGCTACGCCTAATCCAGGGTCCTACAGTAGGACTCATTTAGTGGGAAACCCGGGGAACACACGAATCCGGTCCCAAGTACACAATATTCCTTTAGCATTGTCTATACGGTTCGGGCTATAGTCTAGTATTACAATCTACTATAGCTAGGTAGAGTTAAATATCTAATGAGAGTGAATAATGAAAGTGAATAATGAGAGTGAACAAAACAATGAGATGACTTAGCTGAGTACCAATAAATCCAGCGAATCTGTCCCATAGCGGTCACCTACCTCATCCCGTGAGTGGATGTCTGTTGACTTGACTGATTCCGGACAGTAGCGTCCGAGGCGGTGGCTCACCGGTTGTACACTACCCATGTGGATCATACCATCGATTAATTGAGCGGTAAGTACGGGTGTCATGACATGCACCACTTGTATATACATGCGTGGTGATAAGTAATGAGCATACTAGCTTTCACCTAGTGTGTGCACCTAGCGATTATGGTTCTCAGCTTGCTAGGTTAGTTTCTTTGTCTCTCTCTCTCTCTCTCTCCGTCTCCGTCTCCTCGGTCCATGTCCGGCAATTTGTCCCGGCACCTACTATATCGAGCTAGAGCTATCGGTTGTTTTCGTGCTGTAGTTAACTGTCCGCAGGGGATATCAGAAAAGAGGATCGGAGAACCGATTCCAGATTAAAAGTTCTCTGTCATCGGTGTCCTTTTTTTTTTCCACCGTTTTGTATGGTGGCGGGGGCAGGGATGGGATAAACCTGTGAAGTGAGGGGGCTTGATTTTCAAGGGAGGGAGGGAGGGAGGGGTAGGATGTAAGTAAGTGATGAGTTATACATATGTCGTGTTTGGTAGACTATTAGTCATGGAGGCGGAAAGAAGGAAGAACCGGTGTGGGTTTGGACTGTTTCAGGACGTATCATATACTTGCTCATGTATGTATGTGTTGAAAATATATGTAAGTACATACTTGGATCAAGTCACCGCTTCTATGAAACCTCAAATGTTAGTATTACTACCTACTTTACATTAGTAGGATATGTGAAGATTGGCACAGATCCCGCTTTTTGATACTCTTATTTTCTCTGACTGTAGTGCTGGATGAGCTAATATGAGATACACTACATGTGGGTTTGCTTGCTTTGGATATGTATTTCGTGCGTTCGTGTACATACCTACTTTTGCTTGTCAACATGAACGTCTTTTTCCAATGACGGAAGAAGACCCGAAGTATATATCAAGAGGCGCAAGAGAATACCAGGGGGAAGGAAGACTGGGGAGTTGACATCAATTACACCGCCGGTCAACCCCCATTTACCTACAAGCCAACTACGGTATCTTTACCTAGTCGGACTTGTATATTTTGCTTGCCTTGTCAATATCGTGATGCCAGGATGAAATGCAGCGAAGTGCACTACTTGCCACGTGTTCGAAGCCTGGCCTAAATACCAGTTATATCACATTCTCCGTTATGTTAGATCTAGCTTACGTGCTAACGGCCTTAGCATCGTGGGTTCAACAAGCGCGATGGCTAGCAACACACACCCCTTGGTGTATACTTGTATGTATCTGCCATGACGTTACTTGCTGTCATAATTTGTTTCCTAACCTGTTGACTAGTGGAAATCAAAATAGAACTATGCTAAAGCGCATCTGTTTCCCATACATGTATACTGTTCAAAGATATAATTCATCTGCACAGAATCTGCCTCGCATTGATTCTTGTCGCCATAAGTAATACGTGGTGGACGCTGGAAGCGGGAACATTGTACTATTTCAAGCTGCCTATGGCTTATTTAGTTTCATAGGTCTCTATTACCTCTGGTTATAGATTGCGGGATGCTGTATGTGTATAGTCCGCTAGGGGAGAAAGAAATAATAATTAGATCTTTGCCTTCCTTAATTTCTCTCATATGTGGTCATTTTCTGAGTATCATGGAATAATTGGGTTGGACCACAATATAGTAACATGTAAGGTAGGTATTTGTTACTTCGAAAGCGAGGGAGCTGCTCATCTGCACGTATCGTCAAGGTCTGATTCTCGTAGTATGATCGTAGTATCGAGAGAAAGTGAGCGTTGGAGAAGTCGAAGAGTCTTGGTAGTAACACACACTCTCATCTTAAGAAGTAGTCTTCGATCATGTGCTTAGCTTTAATGTGTAGATCATTCATGTGCTTAGCTTTAATGTGTAGATCATTCATACCCAGTTGACAACTTTGTGGCTATCATGCATAACACATGGACAAAAAAGAAAGACCTCATCTAACTGTATAAAGCTGAAGGTGTCCCGGCCAGGAGCTCGCAATTGAAGTCCTCGTAGTATCCATATGAACTGGCCTGTGATGACTAGAATAAGTCGAGATATAGCTCCTTGCCATACATTAATATGAGGATACTAAGAGAATAGTTTATAGGAGAATATAATTCAAGTCAATAGAATCGGTGGTATCTCATGAGAGGTAGATTTGGACGAATCGCCCTCAGATGAGGGAGCATGTACCCCTACAACAATCTCACTACCTCTTACCAAACCACGAGATGGCCAACTCGACAGGTAGCACTGTTGGATTATGAGACTGTTTATTAATGAAGCATGCTCGGTAGACGTAAATATGGTATTGAAAGTGACGTGATCTACGAGGCATTTCAGATAACAATGTATATATCTGGTTTAATGGTCTTGAGGCGGCTTCGATAGTGAGAATGGAGTTAGCACGCCTAATATGCTCTATGCTTGTGAATGGGGGATTGATGCCTACGGATCTTTTTCTTTTTCTTTTTTACGTTGCGTATATTTGTCAATCATGATCTGATGTTATTGCATCAAGAATCTTGGGACAGTAGGAAGGGATTCCGTCTGAGTGACATGACCTTATTGAAACAATCGTACCATACACAATACTGACTCTCAGTTCGCCGGCCAGGGTACAGCAAGCCACCACCCCTCCGATGCACATATACCCAAAGATTCAGCCTGTAATTTCCAACTCAAGTAGAACCCAGACATTGCACTGAGCCGATGAGTACTGGGTGAATTCGCGAAGATGCTGAACGGCGTGCTCGAGGAAAATTACAGGGATATATGTACAGACGGACAGTAGCTATGGGGGCAATGATATAACGACATAGTCACCTTCTGGGGTTATGTACCAGAGCCACAAGGAGAAGTCACAAGTGACAATCTGTATTGCAAGACAGAGTCACCTACTATGAGCAATATCGAATCCAAAAATTGATACCATTAGTGTACGAATCTCTCGCCGGTGCAGTGTCTATTGCGTGGCAACTCCTGAGAAAACCTCAAGAGTGGCATCAGCAGAAAGTAAGAGAGAAAGGACGAACATAGCTAAAGCGCACTCAGTGGGAAAGCTGTGAGTTTATGCCCACCGGGTTCCGTTTCTCATACTCCTGAGTGCATTTGTCACATTCAATATGAGGTGAAGTTGGGGATTAACAGGATTGGGAGTGGCAATTCGGAAAAGTCTAGTCCTGAGAGCATTATACGTAAATTCCAAGCTGGCATTAAGTGTACGGAGTACTCAGGCATTAATATCACCTACCATAGCCTAGTTATTCACGTAGAGACCTCATAGGCGAAGAGTCGATCTAGCAGTATTGTCCCAGCTGTAATAGAAGAGGTGCCGACTTGATCACCAAAAGTCGCTCAAGGTTTGATTTTGCTCATTACTGAAAATACAAGGCTCTTGAAAGATGAAGCGTTCTTTTTGTTTCGTCTCGATAGTCTGTTAGCAGACTCATAGGCGTAAATATACACGGATATTACTCCACTCGCACGCAGCTAATTCTCTCGGGCATCTCGTAGAATCGATAGTTACTGTCGCCCAAGCAGTATATCGAATACCCTGACTAACCCCTCCCCCTCACTCACACACGTATGTGGACTACTATCGTGTTCTTTGTGAACTCTGTTGTCGTTATCCTTCCACACTCATCGCCGTCAAACTCTTTAGTTTAGTGGTGAGCAGCAGCACCCTCCTCCTCTTCCTCCTCGACTAGCCAGTCCTCAACGACGGCGGGCGTTGACGTAGCAGTGGTGGCACCCTCGTTACCCTCGACCTCGACGGCCATGTTCTCATACTCCTTCAGGCTGGTGGCAAGGTCGGCCTCCTCGGGGGACTTAGGGGCCTTGGGGGCCTTGAACTCTTGGACCTGGCCGACGCTGTCATTCTCCTTGATGGGGGAAGGCTTGTAGGCCTTGAGTTCCTTGAGGTAGAGTTCCTGGACGAAGTCGGCTGATTGAGATGTTAGCAGGTCTGATTTATATCACTCAAATCTGCAACTAATTAGAAGGGCGTCGGGCGCGGGCGAAGAGCGTATGGTAGGCGACGGGCACAGATTATAACTGTATATGCTTCAAACTCTACTCCGCCAACACTCGCCACATCTCGTTGTCCGCGCCGTGAACCATCGGGAGGGGAGACACTGGGAAAAGCGAAAGGCCAGGCGGGAGGGAATATGTCGAAGCTCACCTCGTCGAGAAACGGTCGGGGCAATGAATCCTCGGGTAGCGTTAACCCTCGCGACACGGGTGACAGCCGAGATGGCCGATCGAGCAGTCTGCAGCAGCCAAGTAAGTCAGCAAACACACCAACCACCACTCCAATTTGACGCCAAGTATGGTCATCTACTTCGAAGACTCGTCCTCCTCTTCCTTGAGAAAACTTACCGAGACTCTCAATGGTGCGAGCATATTGTCTGTCGGCTGGATGGAAATGGCCCAATTGGGAGATGGTTGGGGGAATCGTGGGATGTCGATGATAAGTGGTTGAAGGATTGCGTTGATTTTTCGTCCCGGTCGGATCGAATCGCGGCGTTTAGCTAAGTCCAATCAGATCCATTCAATGAGACGGAGCTTGGACCACACCACAGCCGACCCTCTTGCCCGCTCAGGGCCCGCTGGTCCCCGAATATTCATTAAGCCATGTTAGATGAATATTGTAGTATACGGTAAAAATGGTGCTGTGACGTGAGACTCACAGGCTCGACAGGTTAGCTAAGTGTCAACAATCTGAAACTTCGGCTCTACAAGGACCTGAAGATACAGTTCACGCAATGTAGGAAATATTTCGTTGATTTCACTTCTTCTATTTCTAGTCACGCCCTTCCGATGAATATGCTCTTCCCATTGTATCCGGGCGGCTGCCTTTCCTTTAAGGCAAAGTGCTGGTGTTTCTCGTACTATACAAGGTTGTAAGAGATAATATGGTATCGCCGATAAAAAAATACGGATGTAAAATCATCCTACTCAAGTACTAGTAACTAACGCCGTCGACCCGGACTGCCGTAAAACCAGAGGCTTGTGACCAGATCCAATTTGCTTAATGGTATATGCTCCATGGCCATTGTGCTGAATTCCGTTCAGTCGACACCATGTAAGGCGTCGCCTCGTTGAGAGTTTCTCTCAACCTGATAAAATACAGTGACAGAGTTGTAACCTGTCTTCAAATTTCTGAATTATTGTTATCCTCAAGATGTAAAGAGTCGGCTTGAAATGTGTGGGATCATATTTAAGCAGGACAATGACCGTCCGCCCCGAACGATAGCAGCCGCATAATCTATTACGCGATCATTCTTGTGCCGATTTCATTTCGTCAAAGAACGTACTACTGTGGTTATCATGGCGCCTGTTGCTGTTGTACCCTACCAGTATAGTTATTCATGTACCTCGCCTTCGTCGTCGGAACTAAGTCGTTGCCGTTTCTCTTCTCGGGTTTCGGATGCAACTGAGTCAACAACTTTCCGCTTAGATGGAGAGGCTAAACCATCCCCATTTGCGCTCTGATGGACAGTTAAAGTATTCGCCGCTTCTTTCAGCGCGGCATCAGAGTCGCCAGGGGCAGCTTGAGATGCCGATTCTGCAGCGGCCGTGTCAATCTCACGTTGAGCCGCGTCTTCATCTATACCGTTTACTCTGACCCTAGGGCTTTGAGTAGCACGGTCAGTTCCTGGCGACGCGTTGTTACTTGAGCTAGGCTCCTCGCCCCTTCTCCTGGAATTCTCTAGGTTAAAGTTGGGTGATCCGCTATAGGGATTCTCCGACTTTCGTAGTGGATTCTCGACGTAGAACTCTTTTAGCACTTCGATTGCCTTGGCGCAATGATCCGGATTCGCCTTCAAGAACTTCCACCAAGGCTCTCCATTCACATCTTTAATCCGTTCGCCGGTAAATATACTTGCGAAAAATATCGACGCAATAGATATATTGTGTGCGTCCAGCAACAGGGGTAATACCGTTAAACAGGCGTCATTGCAGAACGCCCAAGCTGCATGCCGCAAGGCTTTATTGTGGATGAGGTCGATGGACCCGAGATATTCGTAGAGTTTGTAATGCGGATTGTCGATGGAGACATCAAAGGTGAGAGCCTCTAGCATGACTTCCTCATACATGAGGATACTATCGCGCCATCGCCAGTACTCTTTGGATTGTTCATCGACTATGAGCTTGGAGTTTTTCTGAGCAACCTTCGCTACAGCAATAATGATGTCCTTTGTTTTCCGGCAATTTTCTTCTGTCTTGTTTGCAAGGAAGAGTGCGGTAGCAGCAATATTCTAAACGAAGCCCGGATATTAGCATTAGATCTGGCCCGGCGCAGGTCTTTTATGTGGTTGATAGCGAACAACGTGAATAGAGTGGTATCCCGAACATGACATTGACGAAATTAGACGCCTTAACCGAGACTTACGTAGTGATGTATTCCGCCTGCCTTATTATCTTCGACCATGCTACGTCTCATATAGAACCGATGAAAGAAGACACCAGCGACATAAAGGGTAATCTGAGGAAGTTCCAAGAGGATACCGGCTTGGTAGATGAAGTTAACACCTTTCGCCCGCCGTAATCTCTCCTCGGCAGGCGGGAGCCCGTCCAGGATGCTTGGACTGCCAAGAACTTCCTCCTGTGTGAAGTACCACTGGCTTGCCATGGTGTCTGGAGCTGCGAGGGCTGGTGAAGAAGACGGGGGCGCGCTCTGGCGCGTGGGAAGCCTTGGGGGCGAAGTGCGGGACGAATGCGTGGGAGGAGAGGGCGCAGGAGGCGGAACGTCGCGCCGGCGCGAAGGCGACTTCGACGGGGCAGAAGCAGAAGCAGAGGTGGCGACAGAGACAGGGACAGATCCCGGGCGGTTGTTCGTAGGCGGTATGATGGGCGGCTGGTAACCCTCACGAGGCGGTGGTCGGTATCGATCAATACTCGCCATTGCGCGCTGGCCTAGGCCGGGAAGATTTCGGATTTAGTGTGCGTAAGGGAGTAGGTACATGTATGGTATATATGGGTATCGGCCGGTATGGCGCGGCGCGCGAGGTGCGGTGCTGCGCTGTGCTGCACGGCTTGTCAGTCGCTTGCCAGTCCCGCCAATGCGAACTAGAGCTTTAGGCCTTAATCTGACTTAATCAGACGGCAGAGTGGAGCGCTTAAGGACCGTGTAGACCGTATGATCGTGTACGGTTAGATGGGGGGGCGATGGCAATCGGAATCAGAATCGGAATCATATAGTACTTGTAGACAAATGGCAGTAGTCCCGGTAGTCAATCAGAGGCAAAGGATAGCATTTGCTGCAGAGGCGAGAGGCTAACGAGTGGATGGAGCCCGTCGTTTGCGGTACCGATACATGTGGTGGATGTGATGGTACGTAGTGAAGCAGCTCGAGCAGTTGAGAAGCTGCAATCATAGCCGGTGGTGGCCCGTACCTTACCTACCTGGGAATGTTCTTTGATCTTTCCCCGGCCGTGCTGATTGGCCTATCGCCACCTCCCCAACGGCTATATAGCCTTACATAAGTCACCTTACTACCCCAGATTATTGTCAAGTACGGAGCACGAGGTAGGTAGGCACTTGTTCGCAATCTTGATGTCTAGTTAAGATTGAGTGCAAATCTAGGATAACAAGACATACTAGGGGCGGCTGTCCCTGGCATTGTGGTCATATTAGGTATCCGGAGCTGCCATCAAACAGTTCCAATAGCTTGCAAGAAAGAGAGCAGCTAGCAATTGTTTGAGCAAGAAGGAAGCATGTGTTTGCTTCAAAGAAATACATCATGATGATGTCTGCTGTTGCTTTTCTGATAGAAAACAACATCCTAGTAGACCAAATCTATGAAACTGCGTCAATAAATCTTGAAGAGGTTTTTTTTTTTGGGTATGATTAATACATGGGGCCGCTCTTGGAGATGTCCAGCGTTGATGAAATATCAAGATGCCAGCTGCCAATCGGCTCTCCCAACGATTTATCTACCCATCATCAACGGTTCCCTGCCAGAGGACTGTTATTTAGGTTCAGTGTCCCCATTCTATAGTGTCGTAATGAAACGCATTTCTAGGCAGAAAAATTGTGGTAACATTGGTGCTTATCAAGATATCCTATGTCTAGGTACTGAGAAGATTGTGGATATCAATCAACAGAATGGGTGTGATAGGTGTGATCGAGTACTTTTTCGTCCAACGCTGCACGACTTCAACAGACCATTCACAACCCGGTCTCGGGATCTGGGGAGAGTGTATATGTCCTGGCCCGAGTTGACTTGACATCAGTACAGAGTAAATAGAATCAGGGAATCCGATCTCTCGCCTTTTCCAAGCACCATGTCTTCGTTGATAGTCGATGCCTTTGGTAAAATATCCCCAGCGAACTTGCAACCACCATAGGATGGGATCCTGAGAGTAAAACCTTCTGGTGGCATCAAGCTCTCTCTCTCATCCTCTAGTACTACGTTCCTGGCTGCTGAATAGTCTATTGGACATAAGATATCACTCATTATCTATTACCCGATAGATGTTTCGTAGTAGATTCTCTAAGCATCAATCGATGTTTCTATTCAAGGGGTATCAGATTTATTCAACAAAATGATCTCCATCTATAGTCTCAGTAGTCATCAAACACCTTCGCCGTCGTTCCGTCCCCATAGGTTTACTCTCTTGTCGTGTCCACCACTAACGATCCATTTCCCGTCTCTGCTAACATCCACAGAGGCGACCGGTCCAGTATGACCCTCCAAAGTTTGTACCAATGACCAGTCATCTGCAGAGAAGATGTTGACTTTGCGATCGAAGCCGCTCGAAACAAAAAAGGTGCCAGATTTCTTGGGTAGTTGATTCCCTTTTTCGTCAGTGCTAGGAGGTGTTCCTAATAAAGGATCATCTAACCCCTTGAACCACCTTAGATCGGACACCGCACTACTGTGTGCGCCAATACCGCCTGTCCTTTGCACTTTTCTGACGTCCCAGCACTTGATCCAGCCGTCTGCCGACCCTGTTAATACTCGATGGCCATCAGAACCCCAGTCGATACCATGGATCGGCTTAATGTGGCCGTCCAAATGTCCATCGAGAATCATCACTGTTCTTCCGGACCTTAGATCCCATATCCTACCAATACTGTCCATGCCTCCACTGGCGAGTAGTGACCCATCAGTATTATAGCTAATTGCGAAAACGCCTCGCGAGTGTCCTTCTTGGAGAAGTAGTTCCGAGCTCTTCTCAACATCCCATAATCTCCAAGTAGTGTCGTCGGAGGCCGTAGCAAGATATCGTCCAGACGGGTGGAATTCAACTCTGACCACGCGTTGACCATGACCCTCCAAGGTCGACAGTGGGGTATCTTGTGATAAAGACCACAGGTTAACCTGGCCGTCCGCAGCCCCGGAAGCTAGGTTGACAGTGTCTGGGGACACATTACACTCAGGTAGGGTTGCCCCAGGGAACCATGATATGCCACCTATTCGGTTAATATGGCCGCGTAATGTCATCTTCTCCTTCAATGAAGGAATCTCGATAAGCTTGATCGAACCCCCCCAGTTTCCTGCGGCGACCATCTCCCCATTCGGCGATATCCTCGTCATACTAACATGTCGGTCTCCAGCTGTCTGACTGCCCTGAAGCTCAAAGCCCTGTAGTTGTTCCTTGACTTGTTTGCGGAACTTAACATGAGTGCGTAACGGTATAGAAGACTCTTGCTTCTCAAAAGCTAACCTTCGCTTTGCTCTCGGCAGCGAATATCTTGCAATCTCTTGTCGGGCCCGGAGAAGCTCCGGACTGCCGTTGGTGTAGAACTCTTCCTCTTGGTCTGCCTCCTCGTCAGCCGGCGCGTCTTCCATCGCAACGTCAGCAGCCTCCGTGGTTCCTTGCTCCGTTTGCAGGTTTAGCAAAAGTCCCCTTAGCCGATCGCGGCGATCTGCAAGCCCTTCGCCGAAAAGTGTAATAGGCTCCCCGAGCTCTCGGAGTCTTGCGCGCACCCGCCCGTCGTCAGTAGGGACGGCAATATTGGCTGCCATCCTCTTGCGCTCGAACTGCGAAAGGAGCGCCGACGCCTTTTCGGGCGCGATGCCCGCCGACATCGCGGGCATATCATAGTCGTAGTCGGTAGGGATTTCATCGAGGCTCATGCCATGGTCCTGTAAAGCGAGTCAATCAGTTAGCTATTTACACATTCGAGTGACGTGTCGGAGAGATATCACATACCTCTTCAGCCTCCTCCACATAGGCCTGGCGCGCCGGGTGCATCATGATGGGCAAATTATTTCATGCAAGGCTTCAAGTGCTGGTGAATGACCTTGTGCACGACCGATTAGCACGTTGACAAAAGATGGCTAGCTGTTTGCGTGAGTTGCGGTCATGACCTTGGAAGTTGAAGCAGGCAGATACACTCGAAAAGCTCCGTATCGATAAGCAGGTGGGTTGGTAGCTCATAAGGCAGCGGCACCCAACAGGTCTGAACAGGCTAGGTTACCTAGTTGACGACTCCAAGAGTGCTTGCTATCAAAACCTACCCATATAGAAAGCACCTGAAAAGCCTCACCCAAGCTCTATCAATTGATGTTCAAGTTCAGCGGTTACCTATAGTCGTCACAAATATGGGCAATCTCTCTATCAGGTGGTCTAATGCCCTGTGCTGCCTATAGCTATGGGCCTGGTAATTACACGAGGCTGCATCACCAAGCGCGATGTACTTGGTCAGACGGAAATTCGTGAAGCAACCAATTGATTTAGGGAGTAGGAGTTGAGGTACTTTTACCTAAATTTTCAATTCAAGTAATTGACAACAGAGAAACGCCAAGGGGTTCAAGCGATCGTAAGCTAGCCTTTGCCTGAGCCATAACATCTAACAAGAGAAAAATGAGGGTATACCAGTACCGGCTCGCCCAACAAAGCCATTTCATATCGAACATTACAATGTCTACAGAATTCTTGCGACCTGAAAAGCGTATACCCATTATATCCCGCTCTCCCTCATCCCAACCAGTCTAGGTACCCATCTATAACACTTTTAAACCCTGTATCTGTTTACTCGCTGCTATTCTTTCGGGCCCGGTCTGCAAGCCCTCTAGTACGGGCTCGCTTGACTTCGCCGAAGATAGCGCCTCCGACGTAGACTGCGAAAAGCACAGCAGCAACAACGGAGTATGCGATGACTAAGGACCGGTCGGCGGAGGCAAGCTCAAGGCCGAGACCGCCATTGACAATACCCAAAACGAGCAGGACGCGACCATACCAAATGTGCCCATGCGAAACTAGACCACGCTTCTGGTGCTTGACGTAATGAAGATGATGGAGATAACCTCCAATTGGCTGGACACCGAAGAGCGCAACGACAACGGTGCCGAGAAGAGTGTGCGTCGAGCCGAATTCCTGTAATTCCTATCAGTTCGAGAGGAAACCAGACAGGGGGTTGGACAGCATGGTAGGTAGACTGTGAGGATATATTTTGGGACTTCGCAACTTACAATTCCAGTGCGCTGGGCGAGAATGACACCGACGGCAAAACCTGCCCACATGACTAGGAACGAGCCAATCTGCCACACTCCGTGCAGCATCCAACTGCCAAACAGAGGCATCAGGACAGAGCCGATGGGGTATAGGACGACCATGACGATGCTCATTATGATTCCGTGGGCCGAAGCAAGTTTAGGAATTTCGCTAACCGATGAACTGCCATCCCCGGAGCCAGTATTGCCGCTTGGCGGCGTAGTGCCTTCGCCAGCGTTTACGAATGGATTCCCGTCGCTAGCGATAGTAGCTTGAGTCAGATCGAAGGTGAACTGAGAATTTGAGTCGTGGATGCTGATGCTAGCATCCAAGCTGTTGCTGTTGAGCGCATTACCCCCTTTCCACGCAGCGATGAAGTTGGCACTGGTGTCCGTCAGGTCCAGGGAACCACTGCCACCGTTCCAGCTCTCGCAGTTGCTGCATTGGATGTTGGCTACCATAGTTTGTCCGTTATCGACGATACCACTACCAGCCAGTAGCTTAATATGCGTGTCGCTTTGAGGTTGCGGTGGTGAGTGGCCGGTACCGTATCGTGGAGATACCGTCACGTTGCCATCACCGTTTGCATACATGACGAAGATGTTGGCTCCCCTCATTTGTTGCCCGGTTCCGAGAGCCACCCAGCTATAGGTCGTCGGCGCTCGTAGTTGCATATAGATGTTGCCCTGGGCAGACGAGGCCGAAGCCTCGGGCACACCGACCTGGTAGCATACGTTGCTCGTTGGACAGCGCGACACTGTCGCTGCAGTACCAAAGGCGCCATATGTCAAAGCGGCTGTAGGAGCATATCAGCAACGGAGCCGTAGAATGCGGGCTATGTGATATAACAATTCAAAAGAAGCCTCAATGCCTAGCAGGTTGGCAGCGGTATACCTCATGGCTCCAGATGACCTATTGTGATACCTGATGACGCGAGGAAGGATAGAATATCAGTTGAAGGAATATGCTGATTCACTTACACAAGGCCGCTGTCGTGAACAATTGCTGCATCATTTTGTGTATGTTGTCGCCTCTAGATATCTATTTCCCTTCTTTTCTTTTCTTTTTTGTTCTCAGAAGGGCCCCTCTAAGAGATGAAATAGAGTTGAATCGTGGTGATGACGCGCGTTGCCCTTTTGAACCTATTCCGTGTAAGACAGGTACCCGGACAAGATACGGAACCTTATATGGATAGAGTGCCTACCTCTGTCGTGGGTTTGGTGGCTTATGTATTCCACCTCTTATGTCAAGTGCCAAGCAAGCCTCTTTTTCTGCACGTAGTGCCGAAGCTCAGCTATAAGCCACAGTGACTGGCGAGGATTGCGTATGCTGCTACAGCCCGCGTCTCTTGTGGTGGGTTGATGATGATCCAGACGCAGCTAATGTGTGACGCCTACGATGTTTGCAAGTATATGAATATGTATATACCTGGGCACTTCTTTCTTGTCACCTGATAATGGTTTCCACGTCTCAATTGGATTGGTTTCGAAATTTTCTTTTTTTCCCTGGCTGGATTATGGCAATGTGCAGAAAGTCGTCATCAATCGGTATGCGTCTCGGGCTCAAGGGCTATCAAAGGATTCGTTTCATAAAGGAGTGACGTTTTCCCTCACCTTGGGTCTCTTTGAGGGGGGGTGTAAGGTAGGGCAGACGGCGACCAGTAGTATTCGTTCGATATCACGGTTACCCAAGGAAGGCTCCTGTAAATTGCATGGTCGTACCAGCAGGCGCGCGAAGCATAACGCCTTGGGGTCCATGATATATATACACTAAGGTTGAATGACCTTCCCAATCTTACTCTGCCTTCATTGTTGTACGTATTCCAGTTTACTCTCACCCGCCAAGGCTTGGTAGATCAGCATAGCACTCACGTATTCGTGACTTAGTTGTTATGAGTGTAGCGTAATGGGGCAAAGGAAGGTTACCTATTATTCATGGATGGCTTGATAAACGGTCCCAGCAAAGTTGCCCAGCATCTGCCCAGCACAACGGACGAGCTGGGGTGTCTGGTTGCATTTGCCGATCCTGTCACAAAAGCTGGGACAGATCGCCTGCATATACATACAGTAGGTACTTTCATTGTGTCATGCCCAAAATATCATAAGAGTACATATATTATAAGGCTTGTTCTTCATTGGTAGAGAGCAGGCTGTTCTGAAACAAGAAGACTTGGACTCACCAATCCTGCCTCTTGGAAAGTAATGCTTCCTCGATGCTTGCCTTCCCAATGTGCTTACGCCCGCCATACGCGGATATTTCGCCTACCTACGAAGTAGACTGCCATCGATTGTATATCCGACCTAGATAGAGACATATGTACTATGTAGTTGGTTTATAGACACCACCGCATAATTTCTCACTTCTTACTAGTACTTCTACTTCTACTATGGTTACTCTGTAAATAATTTAAAATGCACGTGTACCACCATCAGCCCGCCTAGCCTTGCCTTTTCTTAGGACAACCTTACCTACCTGCATGTACTAGGTAGGATGAGGCGTAAGTCTGGACCAAGGCCCCGATTGGGGGTCTCAGTCTTCAGCTTCAACCAACCAGCGAGCCGCCAACGTCAGCAGGAAGTTCGACTTACCAAATCTGGGAAATGAAATGCCGGTAGCTAGACTAACTTGCACGCTATCAAACACTCTAGTGTAAAGCTTTGATGTTAGGGCTTCTATATATGTAATTACCTCCTTTATCTACAATTAACACTCTCAATGCTTGATAATTAATACATCGTACAACGACAGGAGATGCGTGGACCTTCGGCTTTTTGCTTGCTCGTCTTCTTCTTCTTCTTCTCGGGGCATGTTTCCGACGTCCATAGTACCAAACATGTATGTAAGACTAGAGATGACGACAGCTAAAGGCTGAATATAGGTATATCGACGCCAGGCTCGGCCGCCGACGCCGTGTAAGCCTGCCATTGGTTGGATGGTGTATTCCAAGAGAGGCGCAGCCTAGGACGCGTAACCTTGATATCTTGACACTGCACTACTATGTGCCATGAGTGAAGTATGCAAGCAGGGCTTGGCCTGTATATTCCGGTGGTAGGTAGTAAGCTCATCTCTCCCTAGGGCACCGATTCCAATGCCGAGACATGGTGTACACCACTAACTCCTGACACCGCAAACTAAATTACATAGGTCCATACTTAGTATGGCAGTTGGATCTGCGTGGGGAGTTCCGTTGCTAACGTGCCGGAGAAGGTCTGCACGGCATCTACTATCTAGCGTCAAGATATTGAGATGCGTACACTCTACTGCTACCCATATGAAATAGCTAAGTAACCAGACAGCAAAAGAAGGTATTCAAGGCGAAGCAACGTATTGTGGCGCTAGATTTCGCACTAACGTTAAAAATCGGCCGATGATATATTGGCCAAGTGAAGAATTCGTCGCCGTGGGATGAAACAGGTTGTCTGCCTGTGTGGTTGCGTGCAGAAATGATGCACTTGCAACACATAGCCCACTATGATCCTGGAAACGGCATTAGCAGATCTGCCAAATGGGACTCGGAAATCTATCCAATGGGTTTTCGGGCTTCATTCACATCGGGGGTAACTCAATCCCGTGAGTATCCCCGAGCCGACGGATTGTGCAACGCTTCATCGGGTTAAGAGCTCAACATCAAACACGACACAAACTCTCATGTGAATTGAGAAGAGAATGCAAAATGGTATCTAGTAGGTGTTGGCATCCATGGCGCCGGCGATCTACTGTCGACGTGTATTTCGCCTTTCTTTTCTTACTATGCAAGGGATTTCCCAGAGAAGAGGTGACGTCTAGATTCATCTCATTTGCCGTATCGGGTCAAGAAAGACTTGGCTCTGGTAGTGCGCACGATTGGTGCGCTGCACTAGGTGCACCATGTAGAAAATTTAATATCAACCGAATCAAAGGTGTTTAGCTGTGCCATGATATGCTATCGGAGTTTACCGTGGCAACTATCTATTTGAAAACTGGCTGTACACATATCTACCTACCTAGTTAAATCGTCTGACGACTCAGATATCTCACCGAGAGTCGTTCGCCGACGGATCTACGCTGTGCCGAACATAGCCTACATATGTGACTAACCAACTGCATCAGTTGGTTGACTGGCATATGCCTCGCCAGGCCACCACAAAATAAGGATATCGAAAGGAAAAATAGAGAGAATAATTTCAACCAGCAAGAAAACCGAAATCTGGTGCTCAACTGCAGGATAATGATGTAAATGATATCCGACATTTTTACACTTAGCTATCTAGGCTGTATCAAGTTGGCCATTACATATTTCGACTCCAATATCTCCGGTATGAGCGAGGCAAGGTTAGCTACGTCTATACTAGGTGGTTAAGATATATTATGCTGGAGGCTCTTTCATATGACTCGCTCACGTCCTACAGTAACTGCCTAGGCACTCGTCGAAAGAGCCTACCTAGACTCTCCATTAATACCTGTCGTGAGATAACAATAATGCGATCGGTTCTCTACGAACACGAATACTATAATGAAGTTGTTGATAATAGTTTGCGCAAGGGGATCGCATATATCATACTCTGTGTCTCTACATACTTAATGAGCGACCTAGCCTCTCTAGATTACCTAGTTCAGGCATTGTCTTCTTACTGTATGCAGGAGATTTATCTCCGTTGACTACGCCGCATGCAACATAAATTTCCTAATAGCTTCTCCACTATCTCAAAATAAATATAGGTAGGATATGACCTTTATCTCCATTCTGTCCCGGCTGTGAAGGTATATTGGATGCAAAGCTACGTGGTTTTTGGCAACATGTAAGCAGAAAGGGGGATTGATCCTTGAATCATGAATTCGGCAATACGCGCTGAATATCCTCATCTACTGATATAGGACTACTGCTTACCTTTACCACTTAAATGAGAGCAGGCAAATCAGCAACGGGATTCCAAGCGAGACTTGCCATTTCTGGCAATATTGAACATGACAATGGCGGTACTAGGACTTCAATATGGTCTTCAGACATATACGAGGAAGGTAGCATATATTGTGATGTCTATCCATCTACTCGACGTGAGTTTCAGAAACGCTTGGTTAACAGTGTTCCATTCCCTATCAACCTAGACAAAGAAGAGACAAGCTGCAGGCGTCTATAATAACAATATCCCATCTCCCTGTCCAAACTCCTAACAAAAACAATGCGCCACGAATTCCAGTAGCAGAGAAGTAAAGCGAGAAAATAATGAAAAGTGCTGTCATCGCATTGGTGCAGCAGTAAGCTGCATCTTATCAAGGTCATTCCAACATTTGCTAGCGCGCTATCGACCATATCATCAACCACAATCCCCTTCCTCATATCCGGATTGATGAAAGCCGCGCCACATCTTCGTTAGCATCTGGGAAAATTATACTCAGTAGGCTCCAGCCATCATGCATCCGTGTTTCTCCAGCAGACTGCTAGGGGCAACAAAGCTGAATCCACCGAAGGGGTCTTCCTTAAAGCTCCCTCCAGGTGACATACCGCTCCACGGGTCCTTGGTTGTGGTGAGAGGGCTAAGAGAAAGGTCCGTAAACTCGGGAGCGAAGTTTTCTGCTAGCTCCGGGTCGGTAATCATCGGCTGAATTGGTGGCTCCATCTCTCTCGCTGCGAGTTTCTTCCAGTCGATCTTGCGGAAGAACCTGTGGCGTTTGATGAGCTCGAGGTCTTTTGGCATACGCGAACCCAATCGCTTGGCAGGATCCTTCCTCAACAAGCGGGCAAGAAGGTCTTTGGCATCAAGACTCAAAAAGTAAGGCATGACAACCTTTTGCTTGACAATGTTGTGTTGAACTTTGGCGTTGTTTGCGCCTCGAAATGGTGGGTTACCCGTCATAAGGTCGTAGCCCAGGGCTCCGAAAGACCACCAATCAACTGCTTTTCCGTATTTATTTCCAAGGATAACCTCTGGAGCCATATATTCAACTGTCCCAAGGATGGACTTGCAACTATCGTCATCACCAACAGCTACCTTTGAAAGGCCGAAGTCGGTGAGAAGCAGATGGCCATGCGCATCTAATAGACAATTCTCCGGCTTCAGATCTCTATAGACTACACCAAGAGAATCATGGAGATAAGATAAGGCAAGGACCATCTCTGCCATGTAGAAAGCAGCAGTCGATTCTGAGAACATCTTCTCCGTGCTCAGGTGGGTGAATAGCTCGCCGCCTTGTCCATACTCCAAAATGAGATAGAGCTTCTCGCGATCTTGAAAAGCATAATAGAGGTTCACGACAAATGGGTGTCTACTAACAGACTCAAGGATTTGTCGCTCTGTCTTAGTCTGCTCAACTAGCTTCTTCTGAACGATCACAGATGCCTTCTTAAACTGCTTCTGTGCGTAAAGGCGGCCAGTATTTCGCTGCTTAACAAGAAGCACAGTTCCGTAGGTGCCTTTACCAAGGCAACGTAAAGGCTCGAAATCGTCCGGTTGCATTTTGCGAGGCACAAGTCCACCTTCAACGGCACCATACATGGGCTTTTCACGAACACTGTCGCTCACAAAGTCGTGCTCGAGCTTTACCTCATAGGACACCGTCCCGCTCTCCAATGATGCATCATCATCACTACTGCCGATCTGGCTGCTGGTAGTGCTGCTCGTGTAGCGGGGTCGACTGTTACTACGTGTTCGGGTCATAGTGCTCGTCGGGGAGTCATTGAGGCTAAGAGGTTCGAGTTGTGTGCGCAACTTGGCAATGCCGCTCATTGCAGGAGACTGAGCGCCTCGGAGGAGAGGGCTACAGTTTGCACTAACCACATCGTCAATGCGGTGGGGGCGACTGCGTCTAGCAGATAGAGGCGGCGTTGCGCAGCAATCCGAGTCCTCGTCGCCGGACACCATAGGTGTCATGATTGGAGTTGGGGCAAAGCCCCGAACGGTAGTGAGTGCGGGAGCCGCCGGTGGGAGCATCTTGACGTCGTCGGTATTAGGAATCCGGGGTCCTGTCCTCGCCTCCTGGGCGTCCTTGCTGGATCAAAAGAGACCCCTGGTTTTTCTATGTGTAATTATCGTCAAGTATATCTTCCTAGTGACGGTGAAGTATTAGCCCGCCCCGATTCACGGTCGGCGGGTGCCTCGTCGGCGTTCAGCGTCGGCTCGTGGTTCACACAGATAATCGAGGTATGTTGGCTGGACAAGTGGAGTGAGCATCGAGTAAGAAATCGAAGAAAAGTCGTCGCGATATGTTTGCTGATGCATTGGCAGCGGGATAGGATACTGGTAGTTGTTTTTGAATCGGATGCCGGTTAGGATCGTGGGTTTTCACCAAATGGTGGTGGTTGAGAAAGGGAAAAGCAAGGCAAAAATGAGACGGAGTATGGTGTACAAGTAGGCATGAGATTGGAATTATTGGTGTGGGGACAAGAAGCAGGTTTGGTTACATTGTGCATTACCGCTGTACCCTGTACGTCAACACAGCGGAAACTTGGGTGAGCAATTAAGTACAGTACATCTACCGCACACAATGGACTGCTAGGTAATTAAGTAATGGTACCTACCTGCAATGGCGGCTGACCACCACTGCAACCACCATTTGCAACCACCACCAAGTTAAAAACTACCTAGGTAGTAGCCTAGGTACCCGCGTCTATCCGTCGATCAGCTGTCACCCTCCAAAGTAGGTACCTGCAACTCTCTTGCGAGTCTGCAGAGAGTCTGCTATGACCGCAATCCGTAGGCAGACACCTACTGCTACTGGAACCTGGAAGCCCCGTGTTTCAGCCGACCTGGAGCACCTGCGCACTTGAGGTGTTCAGTGGGTAGATTTAGGTGAGCAGCTGCAACCCTCAGGTGCCCAACCTTAACTCGAACCAAGATCCACCCCACATCCGACAACCACAACAATTAAATTAAAATACCTGCTGTCACTTTAGGATTCAAAAGTATATTCTACCTACACTTTACAGGTGGTTCCTATAAAAATCTCGAGGCTCCATTGTATGTATATGGATCAAGGTAGATATTTACTTGTCTACAGGTACCTGTATAATACATACTGAGGTATGTACATCTGAATGTACAGCATCACATGCTAGGTACTGGTATTGTCCGAGCCAGAATGCTTTGGGGGGCCTTTAACTTTCCATTTTTAGCTTTCCACTCTCGCCGCTTACTGGCCAAAACACCTCCCAGACACCTCCTAAATCAGGTGCCCATTCTAGATACCTACCAAAAGCGGTAGGCATTAGCCCGATTAGGGGCAGACCGTCTAGCCGCAACCAGAAATCACGCGGAGTGCTACATCCCGTCACAGCTCCCGTCATTAGTGGCATCCTGTTCCCCTTGCACCTGTTAACTCTCAGCAAATTGAGACGATTGATACGAAACAGTAAAGGACTTGGGCCGATCCAGATTCGGCTTTACTACCATACACTCCATGAAATAGCATGTCACCAGTTCCATAGGATGATTAGTTGATCGCAGGCACATACAGATCTAGATATGGTGTTGGGTCTTTACTAACGCTTCTCCATGTAGCGCCACCCCAATCACCGTGTCCTATAAAAAAACGTAGGATCTGAGGCGCCGCGTTGCCCATACTATTAATATCCCGGTTCTTTTCGATATCTTTAACATTCTGTGTGAGCTATTAGCGATGTAACTCGGACTGATCCCCGTGGGGAAGCCGTCGGCCGTTCCACCATGTTAAAGTGCGACACACTATTTAATCGCTGGCAATGACTCATGAGTCGTGTTAATACCATGGCCAATACAGTAGAACTCGCAAGCCAAACCCACAATCTTGTAAGCGGTAATTTGGTGGTGCCTTAGAAGTTAGTGGTGGGAGAGAAGTACTTTAGTCATATTATGCCAGATAACTTCGTACCACACCCAGCATCAACACGTGGCCGGGTCACATTATAATTTTTATTTGCCCAGTGCCCACAATACGCTCTGGACTACTCTCGTTCAACCAACACGACGCCAACTGGATCAAACCAAACGCACCACCATGGTAAGTACCAGAGAGTTCGGAAAATCCAATGCAGATTTTGATGCCATCAAGCCCTAGACTAGAATCCCATCGTACTCCAAATCGTTGTGTTGCCAACCAACCAACAATCGTGAGTTTCCACGTGTTGAACACCCAACACTTGGTATTATCTCCCACTCACCCAAACTCGTAATAGGGTAGCCAGTGATAGCTGTACTAGGCGACATTGTCAAGAATACGCTTGTTCCGGGGTGTTTAATGTTGGCATGGCGCAAAATCAAGCATCAGTATAAGTATCTATATCATCTTATAATCAACGTATAACTAACTATATTATGAATAGACATACTGGAAACACAGCTTGTGTATAATCAAGTCTTAAATATTGTGAGAGGAAGATAGTGAGAAACAGGATATATGTTATGTACACTTTCGAGACCTGATATATTGGTAGCGACTCACTTCTCATAGACCCGAGTCGATATAGACGTGTAGGGTGTCCAAACATCGGATCTCGATATCAGTCTAGTAGTGGTAATTGCACACTGAGCAGCCATTCTAATGCCCTAGGGTTGAAACGCGGTGCCGTATGTACCTAAGCGGCGTGATTTAAGGGATGTGCTGGCTCCTCTTAACAAGTCTGCTTCTGGCCCACAGAGCTCGGTTTTTTAGGATTTAGTCGTTCGCCTAGTATTCATGCGACGAGTATCGAGGTTCGATCCGACCTTTTATTGCTAGATGAAGTGGCGGCGATAGGATCGAGTAAATGCTATCCATTTTGAAGGAGATGATAGGCAGCTGACATCTATTAGGTTCAGCAATTTCGATTTTCCTGTCCCATATATCGCAGTAGATTCCGGGTTCACATCTTGTCACCTGCATGATCCGTAGATTGAAGCCTGTTCTTAACTCCATAGATCAAAACCCGACATGATTTAACTACATGAGCAAGCGCTCAAACCATGCGACGATGTTGGGCCCATACCATTGACTGTTGGGCTCGGAGGCTTGCCGAAACATGATTTCCGACTTCATTTTGTGGGTGGCCAGTATGTTACTATTCGATAAAAGGGTGCCAGCACTGCCGGTATCTCTATAGCCAAGACCCGTTGTGTCATGGACATTATGGATTTCCCATCAACTAACCATCGTTGATCTACAAGCGTGAATCCCTAATAGCCCCTTAGGTACAACGGGGAGGAATGAGATAAACAATTTGGGGCGCTCTTAGCTCTCAGGTAACCCCGTTGATCGAAGGAATGTAGTTGCCGATAAGCTCATTTCAAGGCCCTACGCGTGAGCTTTGAATGGAAGTAGTGCTGGTGTTATTTCAGAGGAATACGTCTCGCAGCCGGGTAGTTCCGAAACGAAACTCTTGTTCAATCTATGATCGTGCATCCATCGTAGTGTCAACACATCCGGCGGATATTACAAATTTAAGGAACTCACAGATACCGGCTATTATAAATGTCGTACCCAGTTACTGCCATTGGACTCTTATGGAATGCCTCGATTATGGACGTAGCTGGTTACCGGTGCGGGTAATGTAATGGTATTCGTGGGTGATATCAGGTCTTGGGATTAGAAAGATATGTAATAATCTGCAATGGCTGCTAAGATCTCGATGTAGTCCATTCCGACCAGTACCCTTGACCTAAGTGACTGATCTTGACTTTAAGCACAGTTAGACAGACCTTCCCAACCTCGAAGTTTGTTGGCGTGTCTAGTCCTTTCAAGGGGAGTAGATGACATTGAGGCATGTTCTTTCTCATCTAGAACTTTTAGTCTAGCATTCACTATAGGTCATGTATTGAATCGATGCACAAGAACCGGACGAAATAAGCTTCAACTGTTGCCGACTGAGCGAGCGTAATGATAAATTATCACTCAAGAAGAACATGTACAGCAATCAGTTAACCCATGATTTCATGACACCCATTGCCAACCCAGCTTTACCCCCCTTGCTTAGATGTACATGTCTACTAGATCTCACTATTGCGCCTAGGGTTGAAAATGCGTCAGCTTCAATTGGATTGCTTGAATATAATAGAAAATCTAGTGTCCTACGGCTACTAATCCGAATTGGTGTAGTGGTTAACATCTGACGTTTTCACTTGCGAAATCCGTCGAGCCCGGGGTTCGATTCCCCGATTCGGAGATAACTTTTGCACATGCATCCAATTTTGCTTTTTGCAACAAACTTAAATTTTATTTTATCGGCCAAAGCTTTTCACTTTCTGGGATTAAGGACTATCCCGTTGATTGCTGACCTGAGTGTCTGGGAGTACTTACCGTGTCGGCGCTAGCGTGCTCGACTTTCTATATGGGCTATACGTGTTGAAGATTTCGATGAGATGATACCTACTGTCAAAGGGGTTTCGAGGGGAGGTAGAGAAAATAAAGTCTAATTGACGCTGGCTCAGCTTCTCCCTCAGCCAGGCGGGGGAAGGACAACTAGAACAGCGACTTAGATTACGCCGTTTCTCTTTTGCCCCTTTACTCCAATTCAAGATCAACACCGTTCTGGTACTGCTTTTGTTCCCAGATATCACCAGAGCCGAAATTCTTTTGTAATCATAATCTACACTTTCAACGGCCTCCTTTGCATCTAATACAGCCCATCCGCAGTCAATACATGAAGTTTTCCAAGACTACATGCCCAAGCGCCGTTCCTTGTATACATCACCTAAAATGCACTTAGCAGGAGATATGCTCATCTCTTATCATTCGTCTATAAGTTGAAGCTAACACTATTAATCTTCAGCAACCCTAACAACAGACTTCATCCCTCTCGTCTGCTTGACTTCATCTAGGAAATCTATAACATCTATCCAGTTGCGGAACTCCGTGAGACGGATGCGTTCCTTTTTATTCAGCAGCGCGCTTCGATCAGGGCCGAACCCAGCTCCACACATCTCTGTCAGATGATGTACCCCCAACTTTAATGGTAAGGGAGCACGCGCAACGTTGTTCATGAAGACATCGACGGCCTCCCACGGACATGTCTCGTAGCCTGCGAATAAAGCCGGGTTCGCGAGTAGAGCACGGGCAGACATTAGACCGGCTAGCTTTGGGAGATGTGGGTGTGTTATACTAGGTGCAGACACTCCATTCTTCTCCGGCCCATTCGCGTTAGAGGTGAAGGTAGGTTGTGGTTGTAGCAGATGTGATGTATAGGGTAACGTTGAGAGCGTAAATACATCTCCAGACACGCAGACGGGGAGTTTGTCGCCGAACATGTTCGTCAACAGCTCCAATGCTTCTAGGTTGATCGGCACAGTGGACTGCGTGTAGCGAGTGCGTGGGTGGATCGTTATCCAGTCTATGTTCCGGTTCTGCTCGTCACCTATTACTGTATTGATGAAGTCGACGGTTTTTCTCAGGTCATGGTGTACGCGGATTTTGACGCTCACACTCCTCCCTTTTCCTTCCACGTGCTCTATATCTTCTTCTTTGCCAACGCCCCATCCGTCCTCCCTCAGACGCTGTCTTGTGGCGATCACCATGTCGCGTACAAGCTCTCGCTTTTCCATCAAGGCGGCACCGAGAGTTTCTGCGCATGCCCAAGATTGAGGACAGCCACAGTTAAGATCGACGCCATTGACAAATGGTGCGGCGAGTGATGATGCCCGCGACAGCTCTAGGGGTGAGTTGGACCCGAATTGGGCTATAGTGGGTAACTCACGCCTAGACGTTGAGATGGTCAAGTCGCTGTCCCTCGCAAAATTGTTTCGGTTGAATTCCTTGGCTAGAATCATAGGCGTCCAGCAGAGGTCAGTACCAAAGTGTTGCACCGTTTGTCTGAAAGCAAGCTGTCGAGTGTTTTAGTGACCTGAGTACTTATACAGCCCATAGTGGAAGAGATTTCAGGAAAAGTCCTGGGAGAATGCGGATATATCGCGAAACTGGGCAATCCCCTACCTTGCTATATCGCACCATAGGTGCGCAAGCATATAAATATCTGTTTTGGGACTTGGCAACATCGAATAATTTCAGAGGACTTTGGGAGTCAGTCTAGCTATACATGTTCAGTAAAGATTTAGACTTACTGTGTCCTTGCGTGAGGTCCCTCTTGTGCAGTGCTATAGGCCATTATATCATCTGGGATCTTGATATGTCATTTTGTAAGCAAAACATGCTATTGAAGCCGTGCCAAATCACAAGCCGCGATGACTGAGCCCTGAGATTTCCGTTCGCAAGATTCGAGTATGAATCGGATTTGTTGTGTTTGATTCCAATACTAATTAATGGTGTAGTTGGTAGGTACTTGACTTGTTGAAGATTGCAGCCTATCACAAATGGAGGGGTGGAGGGGTAGGTAGGAAATCTCTTAGCAGTAGTATAAGCTCAACGCTACCTATTAACCTAATTACGTAGGTATACGGCCGCAAGCAATTGAGCATCCATATCTCGTCTCAGCATACTGTCGCAATGGGTTTGATAGATATTGAACACAGTACAGTAACAGAAGCATTCAACTTTGACCTTGGTAGCATCTTAAACTCCGCTTGAAACCGCGAGGCTGCCCTCGATCGACTTAGGCAGATCCTTGAATAGGTAGGTACTAGTCCCCAAGTTGTATTCGCAGTACGCGAAGCGCGGAGGGCGGGGCTTCCGATATAAAATTAGAGGTATGTAGATATGTCATACCTATGTATGTACAGTGGTTGGGAGAGAGAAAAAGAGAGGTGCGAAGTACATCTATGGTACGCCGCCATAGCAATACAAGCTGCGTCGGATACCCGCGGGCAAGCGCGCGGATTTTGCACCTCTAAATCCGCTCGGTCGCCGTTTGAAGCGAGAAACAAGCAGGTACAGCTAGATCCTCCAGTACTATGTAGATGCAGACGTACCGGCTGAAACAAAGATGGATTTGTGGCACTAGGCGATTGTGTATGCTGCGTCTTATCGCCGGGTGGAGAAATACATCATTGAAGACTGAGGCCGCAAGGGGACTTAACGGGTTTTCAATGGCCGGTGGCATTGTTTATTAAAGTGTTTAAAGGGCAGCTGCCTCCTCGCCTTCGAGGAACATCCCCTCAAATCCAATTGCAACCCTCCTCGATCCATCACTTTCTACTATCACACCAACCTTTATACTCTACACCTAATTTCTCGATACGTCTCGGTGCAATTAACATCACCATGGTTCAAATTATGGGCAAAGAAGTCGGCCCTACGGGCTTTGGGCTAATGGGATTCACCTGGCGAGCTCAGCCATGCCCACAGGAACAGGCATTCGAGGCTATGCGGGAGGCGTTACAGCAGGGTGCTGTCTTCTGGAACGGGGGCGAATTTTATGGTACTCCTGAGTACAACAGCATGGTCCTCCTTGAGCGATACTTTGAGAAGTACCCTGAGGATGCCGACCAGGTCATATTAAGCATCAAGGGAGGCCTAAATCTCCAAACCCACCAGCCCGACGGGTCGCCCGAGGGAACACGAAGGTCCATCGATAACTGTCTCCGCCAATTGAACGGGCGGAAGAAGCTTGATATGTTTGAGTTTGCTCGCCGAGATCAGAAGGCGGATATGAAGGAGACATTTACCATCATTCAGAAGGAGTACATCGACACGGGCAAAATTGGAGGTATCTCGCTTTCTGAGGTCCGAGCGGAAACAATCCATGAAGCTGTCAAGCACGCTAAGATTGTAGCCTGTGAAGTCGAACTGTCACTGTGAGTTTTGTCCCCTGGTAAATACCTGATGGAATGCACAACCCTAACTGCTTGTTGCAGGTTCTCTACAGATGTGCTGCATAACGGTGTTGCAGAGGCTTGCGCTCAGTACGGCATCCCACTTGTTGCTTATTCTCCGCTAGGTAGGGGATTTCTCACCGGTGAAATCAAGACCTTTGACGATATCCCCAAAGATAGCTTCTTAAGGGGGATGCCGCGTTTCCAGCCGGGAGGAAACTTCGAGAACAACATCAAATTAGTGCACGAGGTTGAAGAGCTGGCGAAGAAAAAGAGCTGCACCCCTGCTCAACTTGCCATCAGCTGGGTGAGAGCACTCAATGGTCGCCCGGGTTTGCCAACCATCATCCCTATACCTGGCGCTACTCGCGCGGAACGCGTAAGAGAGAATTCCAAGGTGGTGGAACTAACGAGCGAAGAAATGAATGCAATCGATCAAATCCTCAATGGGTTCAAGCCAGTAGGCGCTCGTTACCCCGACTCTGTTCCTATGGAGACATAGATATATAATTATAACTAAGAACGACACTTCCTTAGTTAAGTAGTGGGTTAGCAAAAAGACTACACAAATTGAAATTGAAAATATTGCGTTTTGTGTGCAGCGCCCAGTCAGGCAAGAAAAGTTTCCACATTATTAGAGCTGAGGCTCTTTTGAGCATTGCAGAATTCTTGAAGTGCTCATCATACATTTGCTACAGCCAGAGATGGGGAAAAGAAGTATCAGCTTACATGTAGTGTGCTTGACTATGGTTGAAACTTTGGTTAGTAGATGGAAAGTTGAGGAATTAGAAGGACAATCAAACTATGTGACATGGTAAAGAGGAGGTTGGTAGTATATTTCAACTGTTGTCAATGGTTACAATAGGAAAGAACGTCTCTGAATCTCAAGAATCCTAGTCTATTGGACTTGGTGTACTGCTCGTGCACTGCGCAAGGTTGAAGCATGAAAATAGGATTTGAGGGAGGGAAAAAACCGAATGCAAGTAATTTCATGTTTCAAAAAGGAGCCATTACTGATTTGTGATCGTGGGGCGGAGAATGGGCCAATCATATCCCCAACTACACTGAAGGCCCGGACCCATACCTATTCTAGATGTAGGTACACCAACTAGCTAGAGGTGTGGAATACCTAGATAGGATATATCTTCTGTGTGTATGGAGGGCTAAGAGAGCAGTGCGGTAAGTCCTGTATGTGTTTCTTACAGTTTGTTTGAGGGCAAAATCTAGGAGATGTTGGAGATGGGTTTACTGGGTATCTAGGCACACTGGATTATCAGACGAAGAACGTAGAGAAGGGGGTAAGCTGCAAAGATAAATAACAGGGACTAAGCGCACATACTACCTACCTATGTACTACCACGGTATGTATACTGCATTATGCCAATTTATTTGATGAATCAACACACCCAGGGTTCTACCAGGGTGCCGGTTTAGCGTACACTATTGAGCATTGTGGTAATGTTGGGGAGGCCGGCAAGCTATAGATTGATTGATGGAGGCAGTACCTATATAGATAGTATACATGTACTTAAGTTCCTGTGAAGGATGGGGACACGGCATAACCGATGGATATTACTACTATGATACTTATAGGCTTACCTACCTATATCTTAAGTATATCCCTCTACTAGTGTTCAAGTCATCTCTGCGTTTTCAAAGAGTGTGAAAGCAAGATCCGGCTCCTGTGGTAGTGCACCTTGATTTTATAAAAATTCAAGCCTTCCTACACTCAGTAAATACCTAGCTATATCCATATCATATTTTGGTACCCCTAATAGACCCTTGAATATAAGGAGAAGTTCGTTACTAGGTACATATGTACTTACTTTTCTCGAATCAGATTTGTTGGGTTTGGCGGTCCACCAGACCGCTTCTCAGGTTTCCCGCTCTCAATTCTTCCCGCCGAAGCATGCAGACAGTTCTTATTTGCCTATTTTATTGATTGGATGGTGTAGGGATCTGAAAAGGCCTAGGTACTGCTGTACACTAGGTCTCCTACTGTACCACTACTAGTACTGTTACTGTAGAGGTACGGTCTCTACTGAAGTACTTAGTGTAGGTATATATAGCGGAGATATGGGTGCCTTGACCCTGGGTCAGGTCCCGACTGGTACCCGCAGCTTCCCTTGTCGTTCAAGGATCTTAACGAACGCCCGTCTTTATAGTAGTCGCGGACAGCTTACTTACAGTGGTAGTAGGTAGGTACTTCCTTAGTATAGCGCCATCTACAGTAGGAAACTCCTGACTTTCTACGCTAGGCGGTTCGCGATTCGTCTGACAAAGGCTTTCAGAGGCCATGCGAGCCGACGATAATCCAAGGCTACACGCGACCCAACCCCGACAGCGGCGACCATAGAGACGTAGGGAACGATTCGATCGGAACCCATTGCAGCAGAGGTCGAGACGGGATTCTCTAGAGCCAACTACGGCCCGCCGCGTCGTCACCGCCTGCGCGACCATGTGGTTGAAGCACTACACGCACCTTACATCCGTTGAGCTATCCTAATATCCTCCATCCAACCTTGGAAGTCAGCATTGCTCAAGCCGCGCTGCAATTAACAACCTACGTGTCGGAACCGTTCTTTCTCGGTCCTCACCTGCCACTCGTTTCTTCCCCTTTAGTCTTTTTGTCGTTCTCGAATACCACAATCGTCCTCCATATCGCGATTGCACATAATCAACTGCGACAGTCGCGACCGACCATTGCTTCGTCGCATTAATCTAGTTCGACCGTAGAAGAAGAGCAGTGGTAATTCCACTCTGTCCTCATCGCCTGGTCTCCAACCCACGTTTACCAGATGTGTTATAGTCGGCAAAATAAGCAAGCTTCAACTCAGATTCAGTTGACATTCTAGAATCTAAACTTCATACCATTCTCGGGCTGATTTCCTCGTGTGGTGCTTTGGTGGCGCGCGTATATTGTGAACCTGGATTTTTGGTTGCCTTGAACGGCATGGTCCTTGGATTCTCCCCTGCTTCACACATCTACCCCAAGAATGAACAACGAGGTTAATACCGCCGCCACGATGCGACGATCTTCCGACACGGTTGAGCGGCAGCGGGCTGATTCGGGCGGTGCGCCCTATTCGGCGTTACCCGCCTCGCCTACACTGACCAACCCTGACATGATATTACCCGAATTTCCTGATTATGACGACAATACTATTTCTCTGGATCATTCGCAGTCCCCGCTGACGGCGTGGAAGAATGCGCAAGCCGGTAATTTGGGGTTCGACCTGTCCGCCGAATCCTTCATCGCGGGACCAATTACCCCTACAACACCGATTATATACGGAAATGGAACCATGCTGTCTGATATCGGAGAGGTTACCGAAGTTGAAAGCACGTGTGGCCCTTCTCGGTCTCGTTCTGGTTCTACGAGGAGTGAACTTGCAATAGTGACAAGTACTGCCTTACCCTATGAGGCCATCAAACAAAGGATCAAACAATCTAGGATGGCTCACCAACGGCATATGTCAGTTGACTCCAACAGTACAGTCACTGCTCATGATCAAACTGGCCTCTTTGCCGACTTTGACGACGCTGTTAGCATAGATGATAGCAACTTTCAGGGAGATGACGAAGATAGCGTTGCTGATTCTTATATTGATGATGCTTCTGTTCAGGAAACAATTTCTCCGGCAAAGGATTCACTTGATCCAGATGATGCGAGATACTCTACCACTTTGAGCCGGAGGGCCGAGCAAATTCTGGCAAACGCGAAGCGGCGCTTAACAGTGAGTGCTCTATTATTGAACTTTGCTCCACATTTTTACTGAATGATGAAAGACAATGGAAGGTAATCTTAATCGAGCTCGATCGTCAATTTCCTCCCCGTCTTGGTCCTCGATGGGTTCTCATTCAACACCCTCGCCGCCGGTTGGAAGACCTACAACCGCTACGAGTCTTGGCAAAGATGGTCAGAGGAAGGCCCCCCATGGCCACAATCGGGTATCTAGCGAGAGCAGTATTCTAGGCGAAAACAGGCCTACTATATCTACCCAAAGATCTTTAAGCGCTCTTGGTACATCTGGAGGGTATCGTCGTCCTTTGCAGGGCTTGCGCAATACCGATTACGCCCGGAATAACGCCAACAGTACTCCATCCAACAATCCAGCTTATGAAATCTCGGCTTTGAACAGTAAAATGACCGTGCATGTACAAGATCGGCCTCTCGAGCCACTCCGTGAAGGCACTATCTCTGAAGAAAAAGATATACTCCAGATGGACACAGAAAACGCGAAGCCAGATGTCCATCTGAGTCCCGTCGATTCAATTCCTGACAAGAATCTCAAGCGGTCAGCTTCGTCAACGCAGATGCGTGATTTGAAAGATCAAGTTAACGACTTAAAGGGAAGGCTCTCAACCTTGAGGGATCAAGCTCGTGCAGATAGTTTGAAGCGCCGAAGCTTGCAGAGCTTGCGCACCCCTAGTCCTTTCACGCACGCTCGCGTCGAGCAATGGTATGCTGAATCGAATAGCCATGAAGATGGAGGAGTACCTCTGCATGGTGACTCGGTTGGTCAGACAACAACTGAAAATAGCTCCGACCCCCGGGATCAAATGAGTAGTCTAATAGAAGTGCAAGCATCCCTTCACAGCTGCGAGGAGCCCCAGCTGACCAGGTCTGCCTCTATCGAAGAGCCTGCTGCTGAAGTGACGCTAGATACAGCTGGTTCACAGCCCGTCTCAACTAATCTCATGGATGATGCTGAACAAAGCGCTGCAGAAGTCAATGATGGCTTCGTGGATGTACTGGATATAACTGAAGTCGCAAGAACAGACGATGGATACCAGTACGCTGAGGCCGATGATTTTTATGAATCAGCAAGCGAAAGTGGCGCATCCACTTATCATGATACCGTTCAAGCTCAGATCTCTCATGAAGATCGTGAAGATGCCTTTGATTATGAGCATTTCTTTTTGCACAGCGCCATGGGTAGTATGAGCCGTAGGCGTATGCGTCACAAAGGGAGTAACGATAGCTTCAGTTCCGATGGCTCCGTAGAGACGACTAGGGGCCCAATTGTGTCGCAGCCAACGAACGTCTCGGCCATTAAGACTGGCCATCGTTCTCGCAGAGGGAGCGCAGGTTCAACATCCACCATGGAATCTTTTGCCACGGCAACAGAAGGTCGACATACCAGAGTTGGCATCGCTACGCCTCGAGAATACGACGATGAGCATAATGACGAGTACGACGACGAGTACTCCGAGCATATCATCACTCTCCCAGTGCGTGCCCGAACGCATACGCCTGACACTGCAAGACGAATGGTGTTTAGCCCAGATGCTGGTGACTCGAGATCCGGCCAAAGACACTCACAGCTAGGTCTTCATCGTCGTCCTCAAAGCAGTGCGGCAGTATTTCAGCATCGATCTTCGGTTTCGTCGATATCAAGTGGTACCAACCGAACCTTTCCACTTATAAACAGATCAAAAGAGAATAAAGGCATATTGACACCTGGAGACTCGCCTGACCACGGGCTCAAGCAGATTTCAGAGACCATCATGAGCGAAACGGCCAGCATATGCGAGAAAGAAAGCCTGCATGATGGCGAGAAAGTGGCTCCTATGCAGATGCTTGACAAATATGACCAGATCCTTGTTGAGCGACTAGTGGCGAGTCTCGGTCGATGTGTCCTGGGGCTGTCAGAATCGGGACATGCCAGTGCTGAGGGCAGGGAATTTCGGGGCAAGATTGAGGCCGCTTGTAGGGCCTTGGAAAAGCTTGAATAACACACACTGCCTTGGTTGTTTTACTGGAAACACTATCGACTTAAGTACTTGGCCCAACACCTTTTTGGGGCCAACCCCTTTTTACTTTTCGTTCTTGGTTTTATACCACTTTGTATTATCCGCCTAATGACGACTATGAAAGATGGCTTGCTGAGTACGACATTATGGCAATTCACTATTGAAAGGCGCTGCGGTAGAAACGTCAGAATAATTTTTTTTTGGACCAGTTGCGTGCCGAGATAGATACCCCAAATCAGGCCAGGAGGAACTGTACATTTTGTATTTAGATAGAGAGGCCTCACATCCCACGCAAATATATTTTCATATTTACTACGGGTCAGTTTGAACGAGAACCCCACCACGGATATCGACTCTGCGATATCCTGTGTAATGTCAGGGGCTTTCTCTGCCTGGAAAACTGGATTCTTCTGACCAGTTGGCCTGTACTCAGTACCTGTATGTAGTTGTGAAGGCGTGTCTCTTTGCCTTGTACCTTAGGCATTTGTCGTGCTACAACCACTACCTAGCGCATACATGAGTGATGTGGCGCAATGTGAGGCGTTAGTACCTCTACCTCATAAGGTACATTAGGTACTTAGTAATCGGTAATTACCTACCACATCAGTAGGTATATACTTAATATAGGTATGCATGCAACTTTAACATACTGGTACCTATATGCACGTGCTACCGGCCTAACCGTAACAGGTAATATAAAGCATCAGTCAGTCAACCACGACACCGGGAAGTGTCATCCCATACGACCAAACAACTCCACGGACACTACTCAAAATTCCCTTCTATTTTATTTCTTCTTACGTATCCCAGTAGGGATGCACTACACTCAAGTAAATTGGCTGGCTCTATTCTGGGTGCCTATCTCTGCTCTTGTCTTCCCCTCGTCGATAGAACACTGCCGCTCTGGAGGGTTGGCCTTTCGAATCAGATACTTGAATGGTAGTCGGAAGCAGGGCTGATGGTTGTCAGCTACTCTCGACTTACCATTGTTCATAGTTTAAATCAGCATGGCGGAGTTTTTAACTCATGATTACATCCCAGCTGGCTGTCTGCTCATTGACAGAGATCAGCATCCCTTGCTGTCAAGAACGCCGGACCTTATTAACGACCAACAATGGTACTTCTTTACCAGGAAATCCGATAACTTGGCGGTAGCCCTACGCTTGCCAACGGAACTCCAGAATATCCTCCTTGGAACTCCTACGCTAGTGTCATTCACCACGCTATGGGCACAAGGATGGATTCAACTAGCATACGCCACACATCCAGTGTCAATCAGCCCACAGTGTCACGGAAGGGTTCGCGTGTATGTGCTTCCTCACGATGTTAACAGGGGCACACACTCGCCACGAAGCGAGCTGACCAGAATGATGCCCACTCTCCTTCGCCATTTGGAGTACTCCCAGGAATGTTGGCAAGGAAAAAATGTCTACCCGCCTCTAACCCACCCAACCCACACTGGACCTGGCATGTCAAGCGGTTGTGATAGCTCGCTTCTTACTTTATTCAACAACATCCCTTCCCCTGATCCTCATCCAGAGAAAGCATCAGATACCGACCTTCGGTGGGCAATGCAATGTCTCCTAGAGAGCCATATACCCGGCTTAGTTACGACTCTTTATCCTTATCAGGGCAGATCAGCCGCACTCAGTACGCAATTTCTCAACGCGTTCTCCTTCTTTTAAATGCTTCAAGAGTCTTAAGACTACCCGTGTAATCATATACTTACACCAGCGATTCGGAAACACAGCGCGATATCATACTTTGACGGGCAACAACTAATTCGCAATATCGCAGTGCTTCAACGTGAGATAGAGCCAGGTAGGGTCATAGATCCCCGGCTTCGTCCCGTACTTGACCAGTCGGGTCAACCCTGGTACTACGATGAGGTGTCTGGCCTCGTCCTGAAGGAGCCAAGGTTTTACGACGGGGCTCGTGGCGGAATTTTAGCTGAAGAAATGGGCACTGGGAAAACACTGATATGTCTTGCCCTGATTCTAAGCACAAAGTCTGAGCCGTCTAAGCCTCCAGACCCCTTCATAGCTGAAACATCTCCTCGCCATCGTATTGGGAGCTTGATGGACATGGCGGCAGCAGCAGCAAGGTATGCATCAATATCTGCCATACCGGTTGCGAGATCCGGTGTTGGCAAAGAGATCTATTCCCTGCAAACGCTAACTGCTGTTATAGTACGTAAACCCTTGATACGTGGTCGCCATGATCTGCGTAAACTTGCAAAATATGCGATAAGACACCAGACTAACATATTTCCATATGCTAGACAAGCATTCGATTCCGGTACGTATCAGTATTCTATCACCTATCCGTGGATTTCATAGAATATTGCGTGTGTTGTTTAAGAAGACTCAATATACTTTGCAAGTATTAAGGACTCATACTTCTACTTACATAGTGGAAACCATACTTTGAAGCTTGTGCTGCACAACTTGGCTACGAATATCGAAACTGTATAGAAGCCCTAACAAGACCTGAGAACCGGGCTCTGTACAAAGTCAGGAATACAATGGTTGAACCCAGACGAAGCAATCGGCTTGCACCCCGCGAGATTCCGTCGAGAGAAGTATTTCTAAGCCATTTAACTCTTGTCATTGTCCCCACCAATCTCGTCAAGCAGTGGCAGAACGAAATCAACAAACATACGACGGGCTTGAGTGTTTTGGTGGTCGTGAATCAAGATCCAATTCCTCCGGTGGCCGATTTATTACCCTACGACGTGATACTCTTCTCTGAATCTCGCTTCGAACGTATCCACAAGGAGCGGTTAACCGGCGAAGGCCCGCTACTCAACATTTACTGCCCGCTTGAAGATATCCGTTTTAAGCGATGTATCATTGACGAAGGACATAAACTTGGCAATGGAAGTCGTGCTTGGAAGAATGACGTGATGAGGGTCGTTGAACGGCTTGAAATTTCTTCTTATTGGGTAGTCACCGGAACGCCATCTCGTGGTTTGTATGGTTTACAATCTCAGAATCATACGGAAGTTTCTACCAACGCGATTGCACAAAAACAAGAACAAGAGGATCTTCAACGTATTGGAAATCTTGCAGCGAAGTATCTCAAAGTTCGGCCCTGGGCCAATGGAAAAAACGAGGCTGGCGATAGTGTCGCCGACTGGGCTACATACGTTAAAGGGCATGACCGAAAGGACTGTCTGATCAACACGCTCAATTCGTTAGTTGTTCGTCATCGCCTCAATGATGTGAACGCATTACTACCCCCAGTTGATGAGAAAGTTATAGTGCTGGACGGGTCTTTCCAAGACCAGCTATCCCTCAACCTTTTTTCTATGATGATCATATTCAACTCGGTCCAATCTCAAAGAACTGATATGGACTACTTTTTCCACGAGCGCCAGAGGAAGAGCTTAGCTCAGCTCGTAAAGAACTTGAGACAAGCGAGTTTCTTTGGCGGCGTATTTTTTTCTGTGGAGGATATTGCCAAGGCCGTGACGACTGCTGAAGAGTTTTTAGAGAAAAAGGCAGTTCCTATCAGCTCCCAAGATGACAACCTCCTCTGTCAAGCTATTGAATTTGGCAAGAAAGCAGCCCAGAATCGTCTCAAAGATGTTAGCAACCGTTTTCATTCAATGCCAATTTATGTACAAGACTTTCCGGGTGGTAGGGGAAAATCCTGGTCTTTGGACGATGAAGAAAATGAGGAAGGGCTTGTGGTAAGTATTTTCGACCCCTCTTACCTAGAGCATAGTCCATGTCTACCTAGACTTTGCAGACTGTCCATGCTGCTGAATTTCCCACAAGACATCATTGATATAGCATGACTGACTTGACGGGTCATAGTGTACTGACGCAGGGTTGATACTTTCGCTTCAGAACTTTTTAAATCCATGTATTGATGCCCCGACTTCTCTTCAGCTTATGATAGATAGGGGTAGCTTGGACCAACAAGGGATGTGTGAGCGGTCACAAGCGCTAGCGGCGGCCTCTGATGCTGGTGAAGGTATATCAAGTCGAACTACGCAAACAACCGCCGTACTAGCCGGTAACACACCACTTGGTGGCGATTACCATACGACACTCAAATCAAAGAAATTTGAAGACATAACTGCTGGTGACCTTCAGCAACATTTACAGGAAAGCGCTAACCCACCAGGTAACTTTGAAGTTGCGAAACCCCTTGCAAAAACACGAATTATTTCCACAGTTTCGGCAAAGCTGTCATATCTAATTGATCAAATCATTAAGCACCAAGACAACGAACAGATCCTCATTTTCTATGACAATGACAATGTAGCTTTTTACCTTGCCAGTGTTCTTGAGATTGTAGGTTATTTGAGGCTCATTTTATCATGTACTTCAGACTGATATTATGTGTGCTAGCTCCAAATCCAGCATTTGATATATTCAAGAGTTGGCCTAAGCGCAGAGAGACGCGCACAATATGTTGCAACGTTCACGAACAGCCCCAACTTCCGTGTATTATTGATGGATATTAGTCAAGCTGCATTCGGTCTTGACATGCGGAGTGCTTCGCGAATATACTTCATATCGCCGGTATTAAACCCGCAAATTGTGGCACAGGCGATCGGAAGAGCTCGTCGGATTAGCCAACAAAAGCCTGTTTCAGTCGAGACGTTGGTTCTGCGAAACAGTATTGAGGAAATCATGATGGACCGTCGAGAACACATGACGCAGGCCGAACACACCAGGATTAAAAACGTGTTGGACGATAGGAAGATCAAGGAATGGATTCGTAACCCCAAGATCTATCCCATGGCTGATGTACAGGACGGCTTAGCACAGACGGCCTTGTTGTCATCACCACAGTATGTGTTCGGTAGAGGCTTCGGACGAGCCTCCCTCGATCCTGATGAGGGACTGATAACAACCAGCCCAGTGGCCGAGATAACCACTACTAGCCCCACGAAATATCAAGATGGCGACGCCGCTATTCCGTTCCAAATCAACAGGGGAATTAAGCGGGCATTAAGCCCCCATCGAACTGAGTTTACAAATACAAAACCTTCCAATGGAGTGGCAGTCCCCGAGCGTCCCATCAAAGTCCGCGCACGGGTTGCTTGGGTAGACCAAGAAGTGTAATAATCGAAGCAAAGTGTTGTAGGTGTATTTCTGGTACAGTTGTCGGAGATAGATTGGTACTGGAGTTACAAGAAGTAACCGGGCATTAGTTGTTAGGACAGACGGACGGCATCACCCGTTTATGTGTCTTGGAGCTTTCTATCACATGTTTAACTCTTGTACCCTAGCATAGTGTGAATTCTCAGCGTAAATCAGTTCGATTCGGACGTGGCAATTGCGAAACATGCAGTAGTTCGAGACATCACATCCCATACGCCCCCCTTTAACGATATCTACTTAGCTCTGCATTAGCTCTACCCCTCGGGCTGCAGTGTAGGGTGATGGTAGTTTGTTCCTATCGTTATTCCTAACAGGGAAGGTTTCATTGCCTCCATATTTCACCACCTCTTACTTAATAGAGAGTTTCACCTCACCGAATCTAGATTGATCCAGTGCGGGACATGTGCCCCATCTTTCCGTCCCTGGGAGTCTTCCAAGGCAGGTATCACGTTCCCTGGCATACCATGTCTAGGTACTGTAATTGTTACGTGTGGCCCTTTGCCAAGTTGACATGCAAACTATGATACAGTCCGAGGGTCGTTTCGAAGGTCTACTGACTGTTCTGATTGATAAGGCCAATGTTTTATATGCTCGTGTTCTTTCTGATAAGTCCGGTTCGCTTTGGGAGTCTGAGGTCCGTGAACACCACCATCGTTAACATTTCTATCAGATGAGGGATGGGTAGTATCCCGATGCTCTCGTCTAAGTATTCTAGGTTGTCTTGTGACTTGTTGCATGGTTACTTTTTTTTTCTGTCTGTTCGTTCTTAATGATAACCTGAAAGGTGTTCATTGGATTTTTCGAAAGGGAGATGGTGTGCATATATGAACTCTAAATATTATTACACGGACCTGACTTCAATTCCGCCTTTGGTCATGATGCTGCGTGTCAGTCGAACATCTTACGTCACAAGGACTGTAGGTAGTCACTGGTGACACATACATAGTACTGTAAGCCATTCGTCAGCCTGAATCGCGGCTGGATGCTTATTGCTGCGCTGTGGAATTTCTCAGCTTCTGACCTCAGCTACGGGAGGTACACAGCTAGGCAGATAGGTGAGGCCGCCGTTCTGCAGACTGTCTGCACCGTCGAATGAAGGTCGTTGTCTCTGAGCGAAGATCTGATCGATTTACCTTACCTGAACATGATGTGGCGGCGGAGTTGAGATGTACCGACTTAAGTACATACGATAGTTAACGGCGGTCTGAATCCCTACCCACATAGCACTACACGCAGTAGAGCGGGAGTGACTTGGCAGGGCAGGCATCACTCATTGGCCTCTCCGTCAACACGCCATCATCGCCATGACATTGTAATAACTTGTAGCGTCGGCTCCGCCACACGTTGCATACGAAAATAACAAAGCTGGCACCGGTATCTCGGGCATGGCTTGCGGGGCATGCAGCAAATCAACAAACCCCATCATGCGTTGTTGTCTGTGGTGCGTGTGTAGTGCCAGGCTAGGAACGCAGTAATGCATGGTGGCTGATAATGGGCTACCTAACCTATATAAGTACCGAAGGTGAAAAGCATCCCCAAGCGGAACGGAGACGGCAGGCAGAGATGGTGTGTATATCTGTGTCTGTTCTGTCCTGGCTGAGACATACTATAATTAGGATCTAGGTCTGGCCTCGAAGCTACAAAGTAATCCGCTGACGGCCGGTTTCAACGCCACCCGCGGACGATGACGATATATGGAGGAGAGAGAGAGTCACGCTCGCTGTTCGCATCTGATTGAGGATCTGACTCGAGTCTGGGTACTCATCAACGCTAGCACTGGACGCGAGTAACATAACTTATGCCTGTCGAAGATCTGCCGCTGTTTGATCTGAAACTGTTTGCACGTTTGCGATCCGACACTCGAGCTGTGCTGTCAAAAGAGATCTGAGTCAAAAGATCAGACTAGGTAGCCAGCCCGGCCTCTCTAGTTGACTTGGCAACGGTGGCTTTTGCATTCCTATTGAATGCTGAAGCAACCCATCCGCCTGTGCTTTCGCCCTAATAACGTGCGGATTCGAACTTTCAAACTCCGGCGAGCGAGTGAGTGAGTGATCGTGGTCGCGCAATTCGCCTCCCGCCTCGATGGCAGAGGTTATCAGACACGAACACGAATGGGACCATCGACATCCTCGACCTCATCCTCATCATCGTCGACAGAAAATGGCACTATCGTCTCGCCCAGAGCCGTCAGGACGGTCGTCGACGGTATATGATCGCCTCTTTCGTTCTCGGCCGGATGCGCGGAGGATCAAAAAGAGACGTTCGCTGCCGGTTCCCGCGTCTGCAGCACCGGTATCAGCACCAGATCCAGATCCAGCGCCAGCGCCAGCACCAGCACCAGCACCGAATCCAGCCCATAAGCAAGCTAGCTTTCAGGTGATAACAGCGATGCGACACGACGAGGTGCAACTCGCGACACACCATACCACTCAGGTACAGGCTATCAGCCCCAGCCCCAGCCCATCGTGAGTGGTCCATCTCTCTTTCTTTAGTGTACCGGTCCATTTTTCCTCTACTTCTAGTGTGATTCTCTTACTTGTTTTTTTTCTTCTCAATAAGTTGAACATTGAGTTGAGCCCTTTTCCTTGATTGGCGGTAGCGAGTGCAACCCCTAGTATTCTCTGATTCCTCAGAAGCGAGCATCATGTTGGCGGGGGGGGGGGGGGGGGGGGGGGGGCGGGGGGGGGGGGGGGGGGGGGGGGGGGGCGGGGGCGGGCGGGGGGGGGGGGGGGGGGGCGGGGGCGGCGG